GCCTCTTGTCAGACTTTGTACGCAAAGTCCTGGCTCTGCCTTAGATGCCCTGCTCTCCCCTCTCCTGGGTAGACAGTGCCTGCAGTCTTCAGCACAGCCCTGGCATGGACACTACCGGGTCCCCTTGCACAGGGAGGGACTGAGACCCAGGAGCCGGAGAACCCCCGCCAGGCGGGCTCCCTCTGTGCCCCGCCCCTTACCTGTCCCCTTGTGTCTCAGCTGGCCCTGTTATGTGCAGCAGCCCTGCCCAGGTCGCTTGGCTTTCTCCCAGCCTCATCATGCCTTGGGCACTGCTGACCTCTTGGACCTGTGCTTCTCCTCAGCCCCACCGGCTCTTCCTCCTCTGAAGACTTTGCCCAGGCCGCACTGCAGCCCTACCCGCTCTCCCAAGGTTGGGAACGCCACCTCCAGCTTCCTGCCTCGTGCCTCAGGGTCCCCAGAGTTGCTTCCCGCCCTGCCATAGTCCCCTGGCCCCCCATGGGCACCCTTGTGCTGGGATCTTGTCCTCAGCTCACCACTGTCTCATACCTGGCCCTCCCCTGCTTCCTGACCTGCTTGATTGTTCCCTCCTGTGACCTTGCCACTCTGCTTGGACTGGTGCCATGGGCCAGGCCGGCTCTCCACCTCCCGCTTAGAACAGTCTCAACCTTCGTGATCCACTACAGCCCCTGCCAGCATATGTCACTGTTTTAAGTTAAAGTTAAAACATAGAGCTGAGGATATAGTTCAGCGGCACAGCATCTGCCTGGCAAGCTCAAGGTTCTGAGTTCCATTCCCGGTACCCCCCTAAAAAATAAATAAAATCAAAACACAAATTAATTATTTTATTTGAAAGAATAAGTTGCTGTCCTCAAGTCTGAGGACTTACTGGCCACCTGTGATTAGTGGTTAGTGAGTGGACCACGCAGGCCAGGCACAGTTCCCCACCACAGACATATTCCTGCTCATTACTATGGCTGGGAAGGTTGGTCATCGGCAGACATGGGCTAATGGGGGGTGCGGTGTCTTCTCCACCCTCCCTGGTTCACCCCACTCAGATGGGGCTGTACGGATCTCAGGCCCTTGAGAACAGTGGGTTAGCACAGGTGGGCAGAGGAGTGGGCCAAAACTCAGTTTCTTCATCTGTCAAATGGGGGTGATAATTCCTGCCTCCGAGGTCCTTTGTGGGATTAAAGTGTAGATGACTCACCCAGCCAGTGCCTGGCATGTAGCAAACAAATGATAATCAGTATCTGTCACTGTCAACAGGAATAAGGCAAGGCAGGGGCAGATGATGGAAGGCAGGGTCTCAGTGGACATGAGCCTCATTGCTGGACAGTGCAGTCTATCATAGGCTTCTGAGCCCAGTGCCCTATTGGCCCGAGCCTGAGAATGGTTAATGTGTTTCTACTGCAGTGCTGTCCCCTGGAATATTCTATATCCACACTGCCCATTTCTGTCTCTGAGGACAGAAGTTCACATTCTGCATGGACCAATGAGTGGTTTTGGAAGGGACAGAGTTCCAGTGGGGTTGGGTTGCAGCCTGGGAACTAACTTTCCTAGGCACCTGTCAGCCATTCTGGGAAAGATCTGAGGCAGCCTGTGGGTGCCAGGAACCGGCTAGGCGGGGATGGGTGTAAGGGAGGAGAGGGCTATGGTGCAGCTGGCTGAGGATGAAGAGGGCTGAGAACTGGGCTCCCATCCTTGTAGCTGAGCTGGCGGACCCAGTGGGACGCAGACTCGCACCTGGGGAAGTTGGGTGTTCTGATGGCTTGGACACCTTGTCTTCACCGTGGCTGGAGCACAAACAGCCCCCAGGTGGCAATGGTTCTCCTTTATGGCCTTGGTTTTGTCGTTTGTAGATGGGCAGAGGAGCACCTACTGCCTGGTGAATAGGATTTGCGAAGGTCCTCTGGGCACCATGGGAAGATGCAGTCCTGTCCCCGAAACCTTACCCCCACTGGATCCTGGCCCTTGGCATCAGGCTACCTCAAACTCTCTCCCGGACAGCCCACTCATGTTTATCTGGGGGAAGACCCCCAGATTTACAGCTCATCTGGGCTTCAGGTCTGCCTGGCCACAGGTGCAGGGTGCTCAGGGAGTCTCAGTTCTGTGTTTCAGTCCCATAAATGCAGGTGCCTGAGTGTGTCACGTGACACACACATCCCTGTTACTCAGTAGGATATGTATCTGCCACAGGGTTGGCCTGTGAACCAGCCCCTTGGTGACTCCAGCCTGTGTACAGCAAGGTCTTGGGAGTGTCCATCAGTAGCCTGGCTTCCCCAATGGCCGTAGAGTGACCACTGTGTGGAGGGGTGGCCCTAGTGGAACCTGACTGCCGGCTACGAACCAGAGGATTCATACAGTGGTGAGAGCCGGAGGAGGAAGCCCAGCGTCAGCTGTTTCTTGCATCCTTCTGGAATTCCAGAATCTGCCGTCTTCTGTAGCTGCCTCCTCTGCCTGTCACTCCACATGAGGTCATGAAACCACAAGCTGGAAATGACCCCTGTCCGACCCCAGAGACCAGAGGAGCTGGCACTGTCCTCTGAGCCCTGAGCCCTGCTGGACCCCAAGGAAGGAACAGGAAGCAGAGGCAGAGGCTCTGGGAGGCTGATGTAGATCAGGAAGAAAGGGATTGGACAGCAGAGGCTGGATGAGGCACTGGGCCTGCGTGATGCCCAGATTGTATTCTTTTTTCTATTTTTATTTTTTATTTTTGAAGAGTAGAATATATTTATTGAGAGAAAGAAAGCTTCTGTCTGAAGAGAGTCAGAAGGGGTCCCAAGCAGGTTGCCCAAGACTCTGTCTTTTCCAGGGACTTTTAGAGTAAAACCATGGGTTCAAGGTGGGAGAAGACTGGGAACTCACAAGGCAGATGGGCATAAGGTGGGACAGAACTATAGTTAGCCAATGAGATCAGTGGTTTAGGTAAAATTGATTAAATTGGGGACAAATGGGGAAGTAAGTCATGTAGGAAGTGGGCATTCTTAGAGATCAGTGACTCTTCCTGTAGGGGGTTGGGATGGCGACTCCTGGCTTCTCAAGGTGATCCGGACAATCCTTAAGGATTATACTTAGGGTGCGGTTGCATTTGCTTGCCTTCTGTCTTGAGACCTGGCCCACAGCAAGAGGTGTGGTATGTGTCCTCTCCAAGGTCATCAGACATCTGGCCCTTTCTGCCGGCCTGCTCGAGGGCCTTCAGATCCTGTTCTTACTCAAGGGCCTGCAGATCTGGAGGAGTCTGGATGCCCTGTGCGGTTCCACATGCCCCAGGTCTGGTTGCAGGTCCTGCAAGCCATCTGAGCGCCTGAGAGCTATCCCATAGGGTGATGGATGCCAGTCAGTGTAAGCAGCTCCCGACTGGCCTGGTCCTTTTAACAGCCAGGTGGGGCGAGGCATGGCTGCATCTGACTGGCAAGGAACCCACATAGAAAGAAAGAAAAAAAAATAGCCATTTAGGGCTGGGGATTTAGCTCAGCAGCATAAGCGCCTGCCTTGCAAGCAGGCAGTCATGAGTTCAATCCCCGGTACTGATAAAAAGGAAAAAGACCAGAAAAAAAAAAAAAAAAAAAACAGCTTTTTATAGAGCATTGACACGATCGTTGCAGATGCTTCCACACTGTGGGTCAGCCAAGTCTCCCACAGGACTGCAAGGAGATGACCTCTTTCTTTTACATCTGAGAAGACTGAGGCTCAGAGATGCTAAGTATCTCACCAAAGGGCACCCAGCTAGATCCTGGCATTGGGATTTAAACCAAACCCTCCAGCCTTCTGATCACAATGAGGTGCTTACTGAGTGAAAGGCAGGACAGGACTCAGACAGGACTCTGTAGCCAGGAAAGCCTCAAGCGGAAGCAGGAAGCCCCTGTCTCCCCCGCCCCTAGGAATTTACCTGTGATGCCATCTTCCCGCCCCTGGAAATTTACCTATGGCGCCAAACCTAGGACCAATGGGCTACCTGTGCATCCCTAATGTTCCCCTTAGGTTCCACCCCAAATCGAGGCTACTTATGTGCCTCACTCCACGTGTTCCGCTGGAGAGATCACCAGATGCCAGCGGTGGGAGGTGCCAGTCATTTCTCTCCGTGTTCTCATAATAAAGGCCGCTTTTTGTTTTATACTTCTCATCTTTTGGAAATATTTTTCATCTTTTGGAAATAGTCCTATCACTGAGCATCCATTGTGTGCCTTAGGCAGGTTTCCCAGCCCATTGTACATTAATGAAAGGAGAAACTGAGGCACAGGGTGGTGGAGTAACCTACCAAGGGCACAGGCAGGGTTTAGATCTGGCCATTGTAGCCATCATAGCCTCCCTGGTGTGTCAGGAGTTCCTGGACACGGCAGGATTTGCTGCAAACTTGCCCCCAATTTGTTCTTGGATGGCCTGGCACAGGCCTGGTGAGGGCTAGAGAGTGAGGATGGGGCAAGTGACAATCAGAATTGGATGCTTAAGATCAGACAAAATGACTTCTGAGGGTCAGGGAGGGCTCATCCCCAAAGGTGCTCTTGTGCTGGGGGCCAGTTCCTGTCCAGGAGTGGAGGCAGAGGGTGGGCTGGGCTCTAGAGAGAGCCCACATGGACACTCCAAGGATACCTTGAACATCTCTGGATGCTGGACGTCTGGGTATCCTCTGTCCACAGGTAGTGGCTGGCCCGTTCTGGGGCCACATCACAGAGCTGAGGACTCAGGAGTTCAAGTGTCCAGGGGTGGGCACAGGGGGACAGGGCCACTGTATGGCAGACAGGGGAAGTGACCCTTAGGCCATGAGCCATCTGCACCACAGAGAAGGCTGACGGGCATGGGTGGGGCCAGCCAAAGGCCCACCAAGGCTAGGACCCTGGTCAGCGCAAGCGAGCTCAGGACCACGGAGAGCTCCAGGGGGAGCTTCCCGGTCACCTTGGTGACAGCTGTCACTGTGAGTCTGTGCCCCAATGTTGCTGCTGCCGGCTTAGCTGACCCCTCTGTCACAGCCTCCAGAGCGCACCTGGCTGCATCAGCCTGAGACCTGACTCTGAGGTCATGGCTGGGTCATTGTGATGGTCAATTTTAGGTGTTACCTTGGCTGGGTTAAACACCTGGAGCAGCGGCCAGATGCTCCTTCTGAGTATGTCTAGGACAGTGTCACTGGAGGAGATGGCATGAGTGGTGGAAGGAACGGGAAAGACCCACCCTCAGGGTGGGCACCTGTCCAACCGCCTGGGGACTAAGAGAACAAGAAGGGGGAGAAAGTGCGTATTTCTCCTGTGACCTGAGGCCGGGACATTCCTGCCTTTGGACGTCAGAACTCCGGGCTCTCTGGCCTCCGGACTTCCTGACTTGACACCAGACACCCTGGCCAAGTTCTCAGCCCTCTGGCCTGGGCCTGCAAATCACGCCACCGGCTTCCCTGGTCTTGAACTGAGTTACGCTGTGGGCATCCCAGGGTCTTCAGCTGGTGGACAGCCTGCCATGGGACTTCTCTGCCTTCACAATCATGTGAGCCACTTCCCCTCACCTTTTCTCATCTGTCTGTCTGTCTGTGTGTCTGTCTGTGTGTCTTTGCAGAGGTGGGGAGAGGGGAGACACTCTCTCAGCTCAGCCTCTGCTGAGGGTGTGGCTGCAGGCCCACCCTGTGGCCTTCTGGCTCAGCCTCTGCCTGCTGTGTCAAGGGTGAACCTGAATGCAAGGGAAAAAATGCCCTGTCGCCTTTACCTTCACCCGCTGGGGAGACACAGGCCTCTAGCTTTGCGTACAACTTACTGGGGTGTGGACAGTGTCTTTTGGGGTGGTCTCCCAGGGAGCCTCCAGCCCTCTGTTCCTGGATCCCCGGGGAGGGTGGCGCTGTTCTCCAGCTTGCGTCTGCCTCCGTGTTGCCCAAGCTCTGCTCCTTGGCGCTGTGAGACAGGACGGCACCCACCCAGGCTGAGGTCCTGCCGGGCACCCTCCCAGCCTTTGCTGCTGCTTTGTGCTCCTCAGCTGTCCTCTCCTCTCCAGGCTGGGGAATAACAAGAGGGGTGAGGCCCGGGGTGCTTGCTGAGCTCTGCTGTGCACTGTGGGTTTTTATCCGAGTCTCTCTCTGTGATGAGGAAGTGGAGCCGGGGAGGAGGAATTAATTTACCCAGGGCCACACAGGAACTGGCAGGGCTGGCATTTGAGCCTGGCAGTCTGTGCCCGTAGAAGCGACGGTGAGGCCCGAATGTTGGTACAAAGCTGTGATCCCAGCACTCAGGAGGCTGAGACAGGAGCTGTGAGTCAAGGCCAGCCTAGATGATGCAGCGGGGCGCATCCCTCAAATAAAAGTGACAGTGAGCACCCTTGACTGGCCTCACAGCTCTGAGGGTTATGGGGCGTACAGCCTGGAGTTCTGATGTCCAAGGGCAGGAGGACATGGGGAAGAATCCTCCCTCTCTGTCCCTTGGTGACCTGTGGGCAGATCCCCTCCCTTTGTCCACCACACACATGCCTCTCTTCAGTGACAACTCACAGACACACTTAGAAGTAACGCATGGCCACTGTGCTCAGTGTTCCCAAACCAAGCCTCACAGTTACCTTCTCTAGCCTGCCCTGACCATCCATCCTGTTTACACTGAACCTTGGCCTCTGTTTGTTTTTCCCCAGAGCTCTGCTTTGGTTTATTTGTTTGTTTGTTTGTTTTGGGGACAGTCTCACAGTGCAGTTGAGGCTGGCCTTGAGCTCACTGTGTAGCCCAGGCTGGTCTCGAACTCGCATCGATCCTCCTGCCTCAGCCTCCCGAGTGCTGGGATTACAGGCATGAGCCACCATGCCCGGTGAGTGCAGGGTTTTAAAAAACATTTTTGTATGCATTTATTTTTTATTTAGACAGAGCCTTGCTATAGATGTTGCTCAAGCTGGCCTCCTCAGCCAACCAAGCGCTGGGATTCCAGGCATCCACCACCACACCCAGTTTCGAGACTTTCTAAAATAGAGTTCTGTTTGACTCACAAGTTTAGTTTGTTGCAGCCCTCCCAAGGGCGAGAGCTTGGGTCAGTTTGGTTCCTGGCATCCCCTGGACCTGGCAAGGTGCCACCACACAGTGGACACTCAGGAGGCATGTACCGAACAGGTGCCCAGTGCAGGCTGGGGAGGCTCCTGTGGGGTGCTGTGTGAATTAAGCACAACTGTGCCTCTTCTGTCACAGGTGGGCTCCTCAAGGCCTCCTGCCATCCCAGATACACTGAATGTGGCAGGTGCAGGGGCTCAGGAGAGCATCGCCACTGGCTGGAGCCTCCTCAGTGCCCCTGTGGAAGCAAATCGGATCCCACCTAGCTGTCCCTGACATTGTGCAAGTTACAGCACCCTTCTAGCCCAGTTTCCTCATCTGTAAAATGGGAGCTATGATATCTGCTTCCGGTGAGCTCATGCTCCTAATGCACTCCTAATGCAACATGAGCTGGCTTATAACCATCGGTAAGCGCCATCGGTGAGCATTATTGTCACCCCTGAGGGTTTCTTGATGACCACTGAGTCAGGTGTGTCACCTGCTGGGGTCCAGTGTATTCTGTGACCTTTACCAGCAATTGGGCCACCTGATCTAACGCGATTGGCTGTGGCTGGGGGACCAGACTCATGTATCAGGTCCAGCTCAGCCATTGTTACAGTGTCCTTTGGGAAAAGTCTTGTCATTTTTCCAGTCTCAGTGTCCCCATCCGGAAAAGCAGAGTGGGTTACAGCAGCCTCCCTGAGGGGCTGGAGGCATAAGTGGGTCCTGGGTGCCTGTGATAAGTTACGTATCCTCTTTTATTTGTATGCTGCCTCAGGAGGAAATGTAGTGAAGCATTTATCAAAGTAAAAGGAATTTGGCTGAGGAGAATAAGTGCTGAAAAGAACAGATGGGGGCCAGGGATGTAGCTCAGTGGAATAAGCGCCTGCTCAGCAAGTTTGAGGTCATGAGTTCAATCCCCGGTACCAAAAAAACAAACAAACAAAAAAAAACAGATGAAGTCCATCCTGGTGCTAATCACTTGTAATCCCAGGAGGCTGAGGCAGGAGGATAGCCACACAGACAAGCCCAGCGTGAACTACATAGTGGGGCCCTGTCTTTAAAAACCAAACACAAGAAAGAAAACATACGAGTCTGTAAGTGAAGGAGCCCGGTCTTTGTGGTGGTCTTTGCGGTGCTGTGACTTAACCTGGGCTGACTTCGTGTGCTCTTGAGCCTCCTGGCAGCCTGAGCAGAGAGGTGTATGGGTTTAGTTCCGTGATTCTCAGGGAGGCAGAGGGTCGCCCCCAGGCACTGATGAGCCTGTGCTTGGAAGGGCACAGCCAGCCAAATGTAACCAGACATCCCCAAAGCCAGCTTAGCCAGGGAGACCAGGGGTGGCTAGGTCAGTCTGACCGCTACAGGATTACGGAAGCCTGGGCACCAGTAGGGCATTCACTGGCTTCGCTCACCTTGAATTTGCTGTTGCCTGGGGATTTTGTCTCAATGGCAACTGTAGCTCCTGCCCTTTCCACAGTGGGTGTCCCTCTGGAGACACCTCCTGTGTAGACCTTGGGGTACAGCCTGTCCCAGTCCCTGGGGGATCTGCTCATCCTGCTGACTGATCTGGCTTTGACAGGCCTTTATCATCATAGAGAAGGGAGCCCAGGGTACTCACTTCCTGATGTCACTGGGGAGTAGCTGTGACACTCCAAATCCAGCGGGAACCAGCCTTACCCGTGCCTTGGGACTGTTGGCATTTAGCAGAGGTCCACTGGCCACCCTAGTGTCCTCGGTACCCACTGTCATCTTTGAGAGCCACCTTTGGGCAGTTTTCAGAATGTAACTGGAGGGGGCAGGGCACAGCCCTGTCCTTTGGGATTAGCAGCAGGACTCCTACATCAGCTACTCACCAGGGTGACCCCATGAGGGCTCCAGAAGCAAGAGCCTCCCCACCAGCTTAGCAATTCCAGGTAGGGGTCCCCAAAGCACCCTAGACCTGTGTCATCTCCAAATTGTTGGACAAGATGGCCCTTAGCATCTTGACTTCTAGGTCAGACATTTCATGGCTCTGCCCTTGTGACATGGAGCTTAGAAGAAGCCGTGCCATGGAATTCCAGCTTTGAACACTGAAAGGAACAAAAGCTTTCTGAGCATCCAGGAACTCTGTACCCAGAGTCATGGATGTGGAAACCAGTTCTGCATGATGAGAACATGTCCGGTCTCGATAGTTTGGAACCAAGTGTGTGTCCACTCTCCCCTGGTGCCCTCAGCTGGGATGAGAGGGGCTAGCACAGCGGGAGGACACCCAGATGACACAGAGAAGCACAAACCACAAGAAAACAGAGTATTTCTAGGAGGAAGGATGGTGCCAGGCGCCAGCGGCAGTTTCTATCCCGGCCTCTTCTGTGACACAGTGCACCTCCCTGGACCCGAGACATTGCTGGTATCTCTCAGTCCCGCCAGCTCTTTCATAGTAAGATGGGTGTAACCTGGCCCACCTGCCCCATCAGAAGCACTGTTTGGCTCATGGTCACTGCCTGGTTTGGTTTCCTCCTTGTGACCAACATGCCATGACGGTAGGGAGGCTGTGACAGGAATGCTAGGGACCCTTTGTACTTGTGACTTTTCTGATAACTCATAAATATTGTGGTTAAAAGCTTATTTAAATCAGAAGAAAGTATCTCCACTGCACAGCCATCAACTGATAAACTATGAAGGAACAGGAAATGGTTATAGCATACACATTTATGAATAGCGATTCCTTCAGAATAACCGTGGGCATTATGTGGGATTTAAATGGAAATGGTAGATTGATTTGCACTGCTATGAAAATCTGCAATCTGTCATCAATTGAGGAAAACAGCAGCACTGGAGTTCACCTTTGCCGCGACTGAATAGGAAATCCTGCGGCACCTCTGGGGTTGTTTATGCCTGGAGCTCAGTCTGGTGCAGGGCAGGGGCTAATGAGGGGGAACTTTGGCTCAATCTCATTTTTAAAATAGCTTAGAATTAAATGGGTCTCTTGAAAGCTGTTTTTTTTCCCCCCGGTGGAAACATACTGAGGTCAGTCGTCGTGGTGCATGCCTGTAAACCCAGCACTTGGGAGGTTGAGGCAGGAGGATCAGCCTGGGCTACAGAGTGAGCTCAAGGTCAGCCTGAACTGCATAGCGAGACCCTGTCTCAAAAGACAGAAAAAAAAAAAAAGAAAAAAAAAATTTGGGTTGTTTTTTTGTTTGTTTTTGTTTGTTTGTTTGTTTGTTTGTTTGGTACTAGGGATTGAACTCTGGACCTTGTGCTTGCCAGGCAGGCACTTATACCACTTAGCTATGTGCCCATCCCAGAAAAGAAAACATTGAGAATCTTTGTTGCTGGGCTTGGTGACATACGTCTATAATCCCAGCACTTGGGAGACAGAGCAGGAGGATCACCAAGGTTCAAGGGCAACCTGAAGGGCAGAGGAAGACTCTGCCCCCCTCAAAAATAAAATATCAGTGGCTCCACAAAAAAAGACAGAGAGTACCCTGACTCAACTGCAGCACAGGGACAGGACCTGCAGGAGTAGTGCCCTGTCTGCTCCCTTGGGGCCTGCGAGCTTCCCAGGGCAGGGTCTGCCCAGGATTGAACTTTTCCAGGTAGTACTGTACTCTGAGCCATGCAGCTAGTGGGGACAGCCAGGGGGTTCTCAGGCTGCAGGGGTCTCTGGGAAAAGGGCTGTGGGCACAGGAAGCAGTTGGCTTGCTGGCTTGGGCTTCCAGGAGACTTGGGAGCAGGCAGTGGAGGACTTCATGCAGGGCCTTCTCAAATGAGGGGGGACAGCATAGGCCCTGGGGCCCTGTATTCCTAACCCTAACCTCCAGTTTGTTCCTTCATTTAGACTGGTGCCGGCTGCCCCTGAACCCACCAGGCCAGGCTGGCCTCGAACTCCTGGCAGTCTTCCTGCCCCAACCTCCTGAGTGCTGGGATTACACCCATGTGCCAACATGCCTGGCACTGTACCCCTCGAGAAGCACCTCAGGCTGCCTGACCGTTGCTCTCTTTCTCCCGCAGGATGAAGATGAGACGCTACAAGCTCTTTCTCATGTTCTGTATGGCCGGCCTCTGCCTCATCTCCTTCCTGCACTTCTTTAAGACCCTTTCCTATGTCACCTTCCCCCGGGAACTGGCCTCCCTCAGCCCTAACCTGGTGTCCAGCTTCTTCTGGAACAATGCCCCCGTCACACCGCAGGCCAGCCCCGAGCCGGGTGGCCCCGACCTGCTGCGAACCCCTCTTTACTCTCACTCACCCCTGCTCCAGCCGCTGCCCCCCAGCAAGGCTGCTGAGGAGCTCCACCGGGTGGACTTCGTGCTGCCCGAGGACACCTCCGAGTATTTCGTGCGCACCAAAGCCGGGGGCGTCTGCTTCAAACCAGGCACCAAGATGCTGGAGAAGCCGCCCTCGGGGCGGCCGGAGGAGAAGCCCGAGGGCTCCGAGGGCTCCTCGGGGGCCCGGGGTTCGGCGCGGCGCCCCCCGCGTCACATGCTGAGCGCTCGGGAGCGCGCGGGCAGCAGCCGGGGCGCGCGGCGCAAGTGGGTGGAGTGCGTGTGCCTGCCGGGCTGGCACGGGCCCAGCTGCGGCGTGCCCACCGTGGTGCAGTACTCCAACCTGCCCACCAAGGAGCGCCTGGTGCCCAGGGAGGTGCCTCGGCGCGTCATCAACGCCATCAACATCAACCACGAGTTCGACCTGCTGGCCGTGCGCTTCCACGAGCTGGGCGACGTGGTGGACGCCTTCGTGGTGTGCGAGTCCAACTTCACGGCCTACGGGGAGCCGCGGCCGCTCAAGTTCCGCGAGATGCTGACCAACGGCACCTTCGAGTACATCCGCCACAAGGTGCTCTACGTCTTCCTGGACCACTTCCCGCGCGGCGGCCGGCAGGACGGCTGGATTGCCGACGACTACCTGCGGACCTTCCTGACCCAGGACGGCGTCTCCCGGCTGCGCAACCTGCGGCCCGACGACGTCTTCATCATCAACGACGCGGACGAGATCCCCGCGCGCGACGGCGTGCTCTTCCTCAAGCTCTACGACGGCTGGACCGAGCCCTTCGCCTTCCACATGCGCAAGTCGCTCTACGGCTTCTTCTGGAAGCAGCCGGGCACCCTGGAGGTGGTGTCGGGCTGCACGGTGGACATGCTGCAGGCCGTGTACGGGCTGGACGGCATCCGCCTGCGCCGCCGCCAGTACTACACCATGCCCAACTTCCGCCAGTACGAGAACCGCACGGGCCACATCCTGGTGCAGTGGTCGCTGGGCAGCCCCCTGCACTTTGCAGGCTGGCATTGCTCCTGGTGCTTCACGCCCGAGGGCATCTACTTCAAGCTGGTGTCTGCCCAGAACGGTGACTTTCCCCGCTGGGGTGACTACGAGGACAAGCGGGACCTCAATTACATCCGGAGCTTGATTCGCACTGGCGGCTGGTTCGATGGCACGAAGCAGGAGTACCCACCTGCGGACCCCAGCGAGCACATGTACGCCCCCAAGTACCTGCTCAAGAACTACAACCAGTTCCGCTACCTGCTGGACAATCCCTACCAGGAGCCCAAGAGCACTGCGGTGGGTGGGCGAAGGAGCAAGGGCCCCGAGGCAGGCCACCCGCAGCCAGGGACAAATTGGATGGGGGTGAAGGCTGAGCCTGAGGGATCTCTCGGGCCTCTGGCCGGGTGGGGTGGTGGCTAACCCTGGCTGCCTTCGGCCTCTTCCTGTCGACTCGGGGTACTGGAGGGACCAGGATTGAGCGGGTGGGCAGTTCCCTATTCAAGCCCTTGTGCATCGAGGGTTAGGTTCTTCACAAAAACAAAACAAAACAAAAAAACAAAACACCTCCTTTGCTGCCAGGAGAAGGGAGCAAGCCCAGACATCTATGCAGCCCTTTTGCTACCAGGAGTGCCGTGGCCAGGAGGTGCCACTGGAGAGCGCATGACGGGGCCCAGGGACTGAGAAGGGCCTGGGGGAGAGAAGGGGCCCTGTGGGAACCTTCAGGGCCGCCCTGTGGGGCTGCAACCGGTAGAGGGAAGCCTTGATGCTTTGGCATGGGGCTTCGGGCCTGCAGTGGGGAGGGGCCATGCCACCAGGCCCAGCTCTGTAAATAGATGCATTTGGGAGCAAGGGGACCCCCTAGCAGGGAAGGGGTGCTGATGAACACTGCATGGTGTCCTCAGAAATGCTGGCCTGGAGGAGGAGAAAGAGGCCTCACTCCCTGCCCTACAGGACATCCCCAAGCTGGGAGGACAGTGCCCAAGCTGTTAGGTTTCTGTCCCTTGTATGTGGCCTGGAGCTTCCTCTTTCTGATTTCAAACCTGGCCTCGCAGTTTCTTCATACTCTGCATTATTGTCGTGTGGGCTGCCTGCCCCACTGTTTGCAGGGACCCCAGAATCTAGTTCTCAGGGTGGGGTGGGCGCTAGAGACAAGCCAAGGGTGGCAGGTGTGGCCTGGGGCATGGGGAGGTGAAGATGGACATGAGACTCTCGTCATTCTGCGTCTCCCTCCCTGTCACCCCCGCCAGCTGGTGCCCACTGCCCCAAGCACCACCACCCCCAGTGGAATCACACGTAAGCTGTCCCTGGAGGCTGGCTAGGGGCCAGGAAGGAGCCAAAGGCTCTCAGGCCCAAGAAGGGACATTAAGGTCAGTTGTATGTTAACCTGTTCCTCTTAGTTTGCCTTGTGGGGGGATGGGGAATGTCATGTGTTGGAGATTCTGAGCTGCTGTAAGAGACCGTGAAATGCAGAGGTTTGTGCAAGACAAAAGCTTGTTTCTGTGAAATTATCTAGAGAGAGATGGATGGTCCAGAACTAGTAGGCAGCGCCACTTTGCTTCACTCACACCTTCCAATTCCGGATACAGAGTGGCTGCTCCAGCTCCCGCTATCACTTGTGCATCCCAGAGCAGAAAACGGCAAATAAGTGCATACCTTTCCTGTTATGGCCTCAAGCCAAAAAAATGGCATGATTTCTATTACTTCTGATGGCTTCTCATTGGCCAGGACTGAGTCACAAGGTCACATAAATACAGCTGCAAGGGAAACTGGGAAATTGCCTTGTGCCAGACCTCAGTTTGGGAGATCAGGGAAGGAGAAGAGGGAGAATGGGGGTGGGGGACAAGCAGATTTCTGGGGGAGGGGTAGAAGTGACTGCTTCCGTTGTAGGATCCTGCTCCTGCTCCTGCTCCTGTCCCAGTTGCCCAGGGCCGAGTGCTGTGGCAGTGACAGGTGTGTGACCAGGAGAGAATGTCCCTCCCTGCATCCCCCAGGTGTTTCCTGTGAGGCCGATGTGTGGAGGCTGCCTGTGGAATGGTCCGTTGCCGTGCGTGCGTGTATATTTATGGGCATGGGTGCATGCTTGGTGTGTATTTGTACGTGTCTGTATCGATGTGTCCCTGTACATAGGTGCCTGAGTGTGGGAGTGGGAGTCCCGGCCCAGGCATCCTCTTTTCCAGGTCCTGTGGCCATGTTTCCTGCGGCTTCCCAGGGTGACTGAGGCAGGAAGCCTTTGGGGAGCCCAGAAAGCAAGATGAAGGAGATGTGGGGTCTGTCTGTCTGTCTGTCTTCCAGTCTGAGGAATGAGTCCTCTCTCCTGTCAGCCCCTCTTGGTCCCCGCTTTGTCCTCCTCCTGATCCCCAGCTCCAGCAGGGCTTTTTCTGAGCAGCTCACTAGGAAGATGCCTGATGGCTCAGGAGAGCTGGAGGACGTGGCTGGCGCAGGCGTGATGTGGGAGGCTGGCCTCGGAGCAGCCGTGGTGGACAGGCCTAGAGCAGGGAAGGAAGACGGAAGGCTCAGGCCTGCCAGGGTTCAGACCAAGCGGGGAGGGGGCAGAGGGAGGGCCGGGGCCAGGGTGTGGGGTGAAAGAGTTTCACATATAACCACAGCATACACTGGCAAGGGGGGGCGGTGCCAGGGCCACTCCCATACCTGGAGGGAAACCAAACAATGTGAACACTGGCACACTGCTGCCCTGTCACCATATCCAGATGTCTTTACCGGGGACCTCTGGCCCTAAGGAGGCCTGTGCAGCCAAGCTTCTAGCTGGCTTTGTCCACACGTAGTCATATCAGTTCCAGGGGTGGGGACAGAATTGAGAGTCAGCGTGGGGACACGGGACTTGCCCCTGCAGAAGGCAGGGCCCTAGGAAATGTGTAATTTAAGGACACCAATAATAATAGTATTATTTTTTTTGTAAAGGAAAATCAATATGTACATTCTGAAATCATTTTCTCTGTAAATGGTTGGATTTCATTTCACCCTTAAAGGGATGCTTAAAGGAGAAGATATTAATAATAAAAACAGCTGTGAAGTCTGAAGGGTGTGTGTGTGGCTGGTTTGTGGGTGTTTGGGGGTGGGGACGGGCAGGAGCAAGTGGCTTCCTGGTCGGTGGGGGCAGCCATCTCCTTCCCAGGGAGCTGGCCTTGGACTTGTCCTGTGACTGTGCCTGCAGCCTGGGATCTAAGGGCTTCCTGGAGGCCTCCTCTTGCCCAGAGAGGTGCTGGCATTTGTCCCGAGGGCCACCAGGTATATCATGAGGAGCATCTCAGAGATGGAAGGGAGAGGTGCTCTGAGCCCTGCTTGGGACCCCTGTGGGTGGCTGTCAACCTCTGGAATGTTGCAGTCTTGGCCTGAGTCTTGGCTTGAGCAGACCATTAGTGTCCTCGGAGCAGTCGCCAAGGGCCAAGCACTTTCGTGTATTACCTGCAGGGTCAGGAGGGACTGTGGGCTGCTGGCCGCGATCCCCCAGGAAGGAGCTGCTGCAGGGCCTGGGGGTGGGCAGGGGTGGAGGGGTTGGATCCTACCGGGTTCAGGGATTGGAGGTTACACACCCCTGCCTACCAGAAGAGGGCGATGGTGACCCACTTACACTTGGTCAAGTTTACAGCTCTAAAACTTGTGTGCTCTAGTACAGCTTTACAGCTCACAGTGGTTACACGTAACACATCCTCATTCTTTTTAATCTCAGTCTCCCCCATCTCTTAGTCCTCTTCCCATGGGTTCTTTTTGTTTATTTTAGTCCATGTTTGCAGCACATAATGTGTACCTTCCTCGCGGGGATCGGAATTACTTGTTTTCGCTCCCTTCCCTCCCGCGGCCCTCCCCGCATCCGTCTCTTGCCCCACCTCCTGTCTGAGAAGGATCTGGTGCCCTGCTTCCTGTTACCTGTCTTTTGGTGCCCTGTTTCCTGTTTCCTATCTTTTGTTTTGCTCTTTATACTTTGGGTTTCTCATAGAAGAGGAACCAGGTGATAGTCAAGCTTGCCTATCTGATTTATGTCGCTTCACATTATGGTCTCAAGGTGCATTCTACAAAGACTCAAGTTTATCCTTCTAGGTTTATAACTTAAATCATGTGCTACAGCGAAGCATCATAATCGCCCTCAATTTTTTTTTTTTTTTTTTTTTTTTTTTTTTTTTTTTTTTTTTTTTTTTTGGTACTGGGTATTGAACTCACGACTGTGCGCTTGCAAGGCAGGTGCTTATGCAGCTGAGCTAAATCCCTGCCCCAGACATTATATAAAAAGTGCTTATTTTGTGCCAATAGAGCCTTCAAGAGCACACCCCAAGGACCTGCTTCCTCCAGTTAGGCTTCCGCCGCCTCCCAATAACCACTGAGCTATCAGTCCCTCAGTGGATTAGTCCTGAAAAAACCCAGAGCCCTCATCCAATCACTGTCCAAAGGTCCCACTCTGAGTCTTGTTGCCATGGGGACCAAACCCTCAACCCATGCGCTCTTGGGGACATTTCTTGTCCAAGTCAAAACATGGAGAGACACCACTACAGACAGGAACCCCAACTTCACCTAGTCCTGAGGTGAGGCTTGAGAAGGGTTCCCCATCATATTTGAGACCAGCTGCCAAAATGCATTGCCTGTGTCTAATCCCACAAAAAACACAAACCCAACAAGTGATGACCTGCACAAAACTGGCTTGTCTCCTGCACCCCTAATTCTTGCAAAGCTGTCCTTCCATAGCACTGGAAGCCTAACCCTGTTGCAGTATTATGAGCCACTTTTCAAACACCGGTTCTAAACTGCAAAAAGACTCTAGAGGCAAAATGCCAGCAGTGACCCAAACCTTTGTAACTTTAAGGTACGGCCAGCTTGCCCCATCCAGGTGACCAGTGTGTGCTGTAGCCCATCTGAGACCAGAACTGCCAGGTCTAGTCTGGCCTGCACTTTGATCTAGGCTCATGAACTCAGTTAATTGAAGACCTTGAGCTATGAGGCTGTTTGTTACACAGCTGAATTGTGGCCATAGATAACTGATACCCACTGCTTTTAGTAAGTGACAGAAGAGCCAACCCAAACTAGTAAGGCAGAGAAGGAATGTCTTGCTGTCAGTAAAGTTCAAGGCTAATGGTGGCTTCTGGTGCAGCTTGAGGACGGGCTTATTGTCACATTGTTGTCTGCCTTTCTGTGACTCAGGCCAGCTCCGCTTCCCGACTTGTGTGTCCCTATCCTCATAAAGGTTTACCCTTTGCATTATGCAGCTTTCCATTGCTGCAACAAAACACCTAGACAGTCACTGTTAGGGAAGAAAGGTTTATTTTGGTTCAGGGTCGCAGAGATTTCAGTCCATGATTTTTGGTCCCATTGCTTTTGGGCTTGCCATAAAATGGTGACCAGAAAGCAAAGGAAGAAAGAGAGAGGAGGGGCCAGCGTCCTCACACCCCTTCCAGGGCCAGTCCTCACTGACCAAACTTCCTTCCTATAGGCCCCACCCCCTCAAAGTTCTGCCACCTCCCAATAGAGTCACAAACCTTTCACACACGGGCCTTTGGGACACTTATCCAACCTGTAGAACCCCTCATGCCTACAAGATGGCTGCAGCAGCTCCAGGTTCCACATCATCTCCGCTTCATACACAGCCTGGAAGAAATAGATCTGTTTATAAAAAGCCTGGGTCTGGATCTCACTGACTTTGATGAAGCTATGTAAACATCCCTAAAGAGATCTGTGAAACCAGTACCTCAGCTGTTCCCATCAGGCCTTTCAGCAGGCCCTGGCCCACGGCCAGCTTTGTCTCCTGGGTCCTTACCTGGAAGATGGAGATCTTCATGGCACAGATCCTCAGGGGTGCTTGTGAGGCTGCTGAGGGCTGGCACAAGCCTGATGGCGTCTCCTCACCCTCTGTCTCCTTTGATGTGCTATATGTGACTCACGTCGTGGGTCCCTCCTCCAGTCTTCTTCCTTTAGACCCGTGACTCACCTGTCCCGTGGTGTTTGTGCTCCTGGAACTCCTTCCTGGTTGCCTTCTTAGGCTCATTTTCTCTCCTGCACTCCATCAAAAAGGGGGCTCCCCTGGACATGGTCCCAGGCTATTTCTTACTCCACATCTCTCAGTGCTCAGCAAGGTGGGGCTGCCTTCATCTCCCCAGGGAGTCCTCTCTCCAGAGTACCCGGCAGCCTTCTGAGCTGGCCCCCCAGAGACCAATGTCACCTCAAACACCGCAGAGCCAAAATAGAACTCATGGTCTGGTTTAAGGCTCTCCTCTTTTAAGGCTCAGCTGGAAATCTGGAAGGACCCTTGGGTGCTAGTGACAGCCACCCCTGTTAGATGCCTTCTGTGTGTCAGGGATGATTATGATGACCCACCCAGAGCCAGAGTTCCAGAGCCCCAGCTTTTGGTCACCTGACCTGGACAGGCTCCTGAGACAGCACTGGGTAAGTGGGAATAACGATTCCTGCCTCTAAGTGCTGGCTGCTGTGGATGTTAAAGGATGCACGTCAAACTGGAGGTGATCATACAGGCCTGTAATCCCAGCAGCCAAGAGGGTGAGGCTGGAGGGCTGCTGTGAGTTCCAGGCCAGCCGGGGTTACACAATGAGTTCAAGGCTGGTCTGGATTACATAGGGAAAACCTGTCTTGAAAACAAATTCACACTAAAAGCATGGAGGACCATGCCTGTAATCCAGGCACTAGGGAGGCTGAGGCAGGAGGACTGCAACTAGTTCAAAGTAAGCCTGGACTATATGTATTGAGTCCCAGTCAAAACAAAATAAAACAATAAAATACATGACACATTGCCTTTTATGCCTCTCAAAATACTCCGCTTCACTTGGAACACACTTCCCGCATTGTTCTTGCCGCTCCCTGACATGGATCTGGAAGTCCTCTTTCTTTTTTTTTTTTTTTTGTCTTTTTCGTTTTTATCGGTACCGGCGATCGAACTCACGACTGCCTGCTTGCAAGGCAGGCGCTCATGACGCTGAGCTAAATCCCCAGCCCCTGGAAGTCCTCTTTCCACAGTGTGTTTATGAGCTGTGATAAAAAAATACGGTGAATGTGAGCGCTAAGTTTTATCCAGTGGAAACACAGGCTCCTAAAAGCATGGGTGTGCCCTCATCTACTTTGTTCACTGGATCTTGCAACTTCTGGCTCTCCCAAAGTCAAAATGACCACGGGAGGCAAACACTTTGAGTTAGATTTGGGACATTCAGGCAACCACAACAGCACAACTAAAAAGACTGTCATGAAAGCGGGGTCCAGAACCGCTTCGGAAAGTGGCAAAAATGATGAGCTAAGTGTGCTGGAAGCGCAGGATAATATTCGGAGGGGGTAAAGGCCAATGTATCACTCACTGTAGTAAAGCATTTTAAATTCATTGTGTTTTTGATTGCATATTGCCTAGATTACTTCACTTATTTCTCTGAGATTGTCGGGAGTGGTCACTGCAGTGTCACCTGTCTTGTCGTGGAGCTGAGTGGCACTTGGAAGAGTCCCTTCCTTTTTCCAGCCTGTGACACAGGAGGCGGAAACCCTGAATTTAAGGAAATGAAGAGTGGGTTTTTCCCCCAAAGTCTCTGCCTCTTCCTGGTCCAGCCCCTCTCTCGGTGCCGTGCTGCCTCCTGGTGGCGAGCTCGCCCGTGTCCTCGGCTTCCCCTTCCTTCTCATCTGATGCATCCAGGGTCCGAGGCAGCTTGCACAGACACACAGAAAAGTGGAGATGCAAGTACAGAAGCGTCACAATCACAGGACTCTGCAAAAATAATCAAGCCTAAGAAATAATGCAGCACGAGGAGGACAAGGCGCCCGCCCGCTTCTCCCTTTTTACAGATGAGAAAAAGAAGCTTCCAGAACTTGCTCAGGAGCTGGCCACACTTGGAGGAGACGCTAATGGACAGCACACCTGAAGGCCTCTGCCTTCCTCACCCTGGTGCCCCCGCACTCTGCCAGGGTCAAATCCACTCTGACTTGTGCACATGGGCTGTGCCCCTCAGATGCCCATGTCCCGGGCCTCGAACCCACATCCGTGGTGACCGCAGTTACTGACATCTGCTCCCCTGGTTTGTCCCTAAACAGTCAGGCCCTAAGGACCCCAGGGCAGCCACTTCGTTAGTTGGGGTTCTCCTGTGCCCTCTGACCCACTGAGGAGGCCCAGCCACTTGTGCAGTGGGAGACTCTGCAGGGTCTTGTCATCCACATCCTTGGGGATAACACTGGCTCTGCCCTCCCTCCTCTGATAAGAAGGGCCTGGCTCATGGAAGCTTCTGATTGGTTTCTACAGAGAAAGAAAAAAGACCATGGTTTCAGGAGCAGCGGTAGAGGGGGCCTGCTGAACGGAGCAGATAGTGGAATGAAGGGGAAAAGTAGACAAAAAATAGCAGAAAAATAGCATGACAGAGATGACAGAGATGGGCCAAAATCACTAATATAGATGGCCTTGATACACTAACAAAAGAAAACAGGCAGACTAGACCAGGAGATAGGGTCCATCGAGATGCTCTGTATAGGAAATATAATCAACCTGAAACAGGGTTCATGGACCGAAAACCAAAGATGAGAAAATGATGCTCTGTGTGACAGGGAACCAGAGAGAAATAGGGGCAGCTCGTCAAGCAGCTGCAGATAGGTTGGAAAGGCATGACACTACACTTTTGTGGAGAACTACTCAGCTATAACGAAGGAAAACCTGGAGGCTTTTGTAAGTAAAGGAAAACAACTTAAGATCAAGCTCATGGGTAAAAAGGTTCAGAATCACTTAGGTAAATAGCAGGTTTCCCCCCTAATCTAAAAACTAAAGGAGTTAGTGGGATCCAAAATGTACAAAGCACCCTGTGAAAGTGAAAAGGGAGGAATTGTCTAAAAAAGGAAGGCAGAGGACATTGTTAACAGTGTATCATGATTTAAAATCCACATTTTTTTCATCATTTTGTTTAGTTTGGTTATATTATGTTCCAGTCTGTCTACTTGTACTAGACTTGAGGGCACAGACAGCTTTTCTAAAAATAGCAGGATATATTATGGTAATCATCCTTAATTTCCTATTAACTTAACCTGAAGCCTTGTATGACTTACACTGTCTTATTATGACTGATCTTATTTGAATCTGGTTTGTTAGATCGCTGTCTTGTCTTGACTGATTTTATCTGAATCTGTTATGTTTGACAGTATCAAGTCTGAGAGTATAGGCAACTACTGTGAAGATGACAAGACTCACTAGAATACCCATTCTGGTTAGACTGTTACCTGCTTTGTTTTTATTGATATTATTCTGTACTGCTATATTCAATTTTACTATGCCTGATGATACAGACAATTCTATTGAAGATAACATGAGACATCATAGTAACCATTGTAGATCACCTTGTATTGTGGTTTTAATAATGTACTATGTTCATCCTTTTGTTTTGAGCGACTCTGTTTTGTGTCCTTTCTCATTTGGTTTTGTTCTTTTCAAAATAAAATTTTTAAAACAAGAATCAAGAAAGGACCCAGACTGTGTGACAATATCACAATCCATCACCGCTGAATTGCAGGGCCTTCTGCCCCCTGCGTGTCTCTCCCTGAATCCCTGGTATTAAAACTGCCCAGATCCTGACCTGAAAATGCAGAAATCATCCCCTGATTTCCCTTCACTTCTTTCCTGGCCAGTCTTTTCTTGCCGTGGGGCTGCCACCAGCCCATGTAGGCCTTTGTGTAAATAAACTGGGAAAGGGCTCCTTTCCTCAAATAATTTTACTTCCATCAATTTGGAAAGTTGTCATGAGGTACTGATTTTTCTAGAAACATACAGCTCCACAAGGTTACTCAGCCTCTACATTCTCCACCTGCTCCTATGGTACACGCGCTCAACCTCAGTCTACGATTCCGCATCACCATAGCGTCAAGGGAGTCCTGCTACAGCTTCAGGGAGTTCCGGCCACCTTATCAGCAGCTCATCCCATTCCCTGGGGAGCAGTAGGGGCTGATTTAACGGCAGCCCATCGGCCTGCAGGTTGGGCAGCAGTGAGGGGGTAAGAGGAGGAGCAGCTGTGAGAGACACCTGCCTCCAGTGTCCAGTACTGGGGATCCCTGGGACAACCTGACCTGAGCAGACTGCAGAGAACTGCGACCCATGAACTCCAAGTGGCCTCCGCAGAGCTGTGATATGGGAGAGGCCACTCTGATCCAGGAAGCAGTAAAGTAGAAAATGTTACCACATCCTGAAAACACAGGAAATTAGCATACGATCAGGGCAGGACTTCATGGCACTGGGGGAATGACTGTTGCATGAATACCTGACAGCTATGTTAAAAAAAAAAAAAAAGACCATTTCCAATCCCTACCTCACTTCTTACCCCAGAGTGAATTTCAGGCAAATGCACCAAAAATACAAAAAATTTTTTTTTGTCTTTGTCTTTTTCGGTACGAGGGATCGAACTCACGACTGCCTGCTTGCAAGGCAGGTGCTTATGCCGCTGAGCTAAATCCCCAGCCCCCAAAATACAAATTTTTGAAGTGCAATTCACCCAGGCATGCTCTGGGTTCAGAGTCGGAGCCTTCACCGGGTCTGCGCCCAGTCCTGGCTGCCTGACCAAGGTGAGCGGTGGCAGAACAGGCTAACGTCCTGTTTGCACCTTTCACACCACCTGGCACAGACAGCACGGGCAGCAGAGATCTCACGGCAGATGGGGGACCCTCTCTTCTGCCCAGCGTATCAGGTTTCAGTCTGGCAAATGCAGGATTGATGACATCTAATGATAGCAAAGCCCATTAAGAAAGAGGCAGCTCACTCGGGGCAGTGATTTCCGGCTGCTGCCTGCCTGGCTCTCATCCCAGCGCATCCCTGCTCTGGGTACAGCTAACTCCCCCGTGACTGCAGCACTGGCAGCAGGCTGGACTGAGCTCTGCCCTGTGCTCCACTAGCAGTGCCCCTCCCCTTCTGAGTAAGAAGCATTTTCCAAGGGCCTCCAGGTTTCAAAGGTCCAGCTGGTCTAAGAGGAAGGGGCTGGTGAGACTCAGGTCTCTGTCTGATGAGGGGCTTGGGCTGTCCTCTCCTGTCTCTGTGACATGGCTCTGCTGAGGCTCCCACCCACTGGCTTCTCAGCTTCCCTCCTGGCCCTGCCTTCCCCTCCTCCTCCAGCAGGACAGAACAAGTCCCCAGGACCCCCAAACCAAACCAAGCAGAGGCAGCACACACAGTGGGCTTTTGTCTCCTCTGACTGTCCTTGTGTCTTGTTCTTAAGATCACTTTAAGATCACCCGCTTTAACTTCCCACTCAATTCTCCAGCCCCTGGGCTCGGCCTCCACCCCTCAGCAGAGCAGCCCGCCACTGACCAGCTACTAAATGGGAATGGAGGTGACCTTGCCCTTCTCCTTTTAATAACCGTCCCTTTCCCCTCCTTCTCTCCTGAGTGCTCCGTCCCAGTGTCCCTTGCTTCTTGAGCCTTAAATTTCAGGACGATGACTCCTTATCCACTTTATGTGCCCTCGTTCTGACTTCATTTGTTCTGCACAAGATTCAGAGCTCTAAACATGAGCTCAGCTCCTGGCCTTAAGGCTTCTTTTTGTTTTGATGTTTTTTTTTTTTTTTTTTTTTTTTTTTTTTTGTAGACATACTCTCATTATATAGTCAAGACTGTCTTCAAATTCCCAGCAATCCTCCTGCCTCAGCCTCTTGGTTGCTGGGATTATGGGTATACAACACTATGTCTAGCTTTATGACTTTTTTTTTTTTTTTTTTTTTTTTTTTTTTTTTGGTACCGGGGATTGAACTCATGACCTTGAGCTCACCAGGCAGGTGCTTGTGCCACTGAGCTATATCCCTGGACCCTCTAATTTATGACTTCTTAAAATTCCATTTCCTGGGGCTGTAGATCAGTAGTACAGCATTTGCCTAGCATGCTTGAGGCCCTGGGTTTAATGCCCAGTAATGCCTGAGAAAAAAGAAAAAGAAAGAAAGAAAGGAAAGAAGGAAAGAAGGAAGGAAGGAAGGAAGGAAGGAAGGAAGGAAGGAAGGAAGGTAGGCAGGAAGGACATTACAAGCCAAGGGTAGAGGCACACGCCTGTAATCCCAGCACTCAGGAGGCAGAAAGAGGAGGATTGCTGTGAGTTTGAGGCCAGCCTGAGCCACTGAGCCACCTAGTAAGTTCAAGGCCAGCATGAAGGAATAGGAAAAAAAAAAAAAAATGAGCCACCTAGTAAGTTCAAGGCCAGCATGAAGGAATAGGAAAAAAAAAAAAAAAAAGCTCCTTTATGGAAATGATGAGACAGTGGCAGTGTTTAGCCCTTCAAATGTGTAGCAGGGATTAGGGATTGATGCATGTCACCCTGGCACACAGGAAGATCTCAATTAGGACCAACTCTTGCTGTCAATGGCTGAGTCCTGCAAGTGAATGCTGCCGTGACCTAGCGACAGATTGGGGCTCAGCCTGCCAGTCTAGTCCCTGTTGCATTACCATCCAAGACACACCAAAATGTCCCTTGTCCCATGAAAGCCAGTAGAATCTCTAAGATGGGGTGGGGGTGGGGTCTCTGGTCTACCAGGCACCATGGACACAGCCAGGTACATGTCCCTTTACTGCCCAGCCTGCATTGCCGTGGGAGCGTGGATGGCCGGGAGTGGCCTTGGAGACTGGAAGAGGACTATGAAGGTCAAGATGACCTAGTGGTGGTGGGGTTTAAGGGCAGATCCATCCCCGAAGGATCTCCCTCCATTCCTCCTTCCTAAAAATAACATTTTATGGATCTAAAAGGGCAGGAGGGACAAGAGTGGTCACCTGGTTTTTCAGCTGGAAATGTCACCAAGTAGATGTATTTGGGTCACAAAATTATCTCTTTAAAGAGCAAATGAGGGCAGTCTGGAGGAATGGAAAGAAGAGTTTGGAGGAAGACAGATTTGATTTCCACTGCAAGGCTGGCTGCTGCCTAATTCAGTATCTCAGAGATGACCTAACCTCTCCAGATATTGGATTTATCACCTGTACCACTACACTAATGATGCCGGCCACTCAGGTATGCTGCATTAGAGGTTCTGCTGTGAACAACCGTTTACTTAGCTTTTGAATAGGCAGCTGTCTATAGAAAGGGCCTGACAGAGTTGGGTGATCAGCCACACTGATAAGAACTTAAACCCTATGTGCTCAGTAACTGGTGTAGAGTCAAGCTCCAATTGGTCATTTTAAACCCACAGTCACCCGGGATAGGTGGCCACTGAACAACTGAATAATCCCTGTGCCCCACTTATCCAAAAGAAGCTCTGGATTGAGGGGACACCAGACGACCCCTCTCACCGGGAGCTATTTCTCTTCTGATAGTTCTGATAAGCACTCCCATAGCTCCCTACTTCCGGCTTGCAATTTCATCCTTCAACTCCATGAGTAAATGGGCTAAGGTTTATGAGATTTGTATGGTTTTAACTGTTTCACTACATTCGTAAAGTACTGACCCACTGTGAGGTGTAGAGTGGAGTGCCATAGTCATGAAGAATGAAACGGCGGATGGAGGTCAGGTGCTAGTAAGTTTATTTAAAGGCTATAAAGGCAGGTATGTAAAAGATACACAGGCAAGAAAGTAAATCTGCTGCTGGCGGGGAGGGGTTTTCTGAGTAGGGCTCTTTGTCTAGAGGTTTCTAAGGGGGTATACCAAGGAGTTCAGGTTGTCCAGTAAGCAATATAATCTCCAGCCTATAGGAGACTACATCCTTTTCAGGTCCAACCTATACGGTGTTCGTGCAGTGATCCTTGAACCTGCGATTGTCCAGTCTTGGCCTCCCAGAGTGCTGGGACCATAGACTTGGTCATACCCAGTTTGTACTCATCTTTTGCTATTTTTTATAGCAATGAGACAATGTCTTGCTATGTAATTCAGACTGGTCCTTGAACTCACTGTGTAACCCAGGCTGGCCTGTAACTTGCACTGATGGATCCTCCTGCATCAGCCTTAGAGTACTGAGGTTATAAGCGTGTGCCACCACACCCAGGTGTGTTGTTCTTTATCTCTGCCTAATGTGCTGGAGGTGTGGCTCAGCCTCTCCTGGCCTCCGGGCTTAGGCCTGGTTTCCATGGTTACTCCAGGCAGCCAGATCCCGTTACCAGCAAAGCCAGGTGCCACTGTTGTAGGTGGCCAGAACAAGACCTAGATTTGTTCGCTTGCTGACCAGCCCCTGAGAATATGAGAAAACCTCATCAAACTAGCCGGTGCTGCGGCGTGCCGGGGAGGAGTCTACAAGGGCTGGCGGGCCGCGCTGCACCGCCACTTCCGTTCCGCCCGCGCGTGTGGCAGCTCTGTCCCCGCCTCGCACAGCGGGAGCGGCCGCCCGGGTGCTGCAGAGGCGGGGTGCTTCGGGCTCCGCAGCGGCGACCCCAGCGCTCAGGCCGAGGCGTGAGTATCCGCGCCTCACAGGGTTGTGCTGGAGGCTGGGACGCGGGGACCCTGCGCGGGCGTCCCCTAGGGCTGGTGCTCGCGGGCTGGGCTGTGCAGGCGTAGCCAGGCTCCCCGCGCCCCAAACCCGAGGGGGTCCAGGCAGTCGCCCCGCGACTGTGGCCGTAGCGGCACTGGAGGCGCGCGGGGGCCAGGGGCCGCTGGAGGAGCGCCCTCCTCTACGTGGCTGGTAAACCGTGGGTGCATGAGGTTCGGTGAAATACGCGCCACCACAGCGCCCTGCTGGCAGTATTTAGCCTACCGGAAGCCGGAAGTGCGTCACAGAGGCTGCCCCAGGGGGCTCCCGGAAGCGCTCCTGGCGTTTGCCCTCCGGGTAGAGGACCTGCCAGCGTTATGCGCATGCGTCAGGTTATCAATTGGTGAGTGTTTACCCACCTTGTGCTGCGTGTTATATTTTTGTGCATTTATAATTTGTTTTATTGAATGTTTTCTTTCGATTTTTTTTTCGTAGAAGTAGCCCCGTTTGGTACAATGTCGCATAAAAATCCGCTTTTGCAACTTTGGGGGGAGGTGGAAAGCGAGTCATCAGGTGATTCGGCTACGGATGATGAGTTGGATCACGTAAGCCTAAGAAGTTTCGATAGCGAGACCGAGCAAGAAATGACAGATAGAGAAGTAGAGGACGAAGACCTTGGTTCAGAGGAGGAGGACAACAGTAGTGTAAATGACTATTTGACTAGTCGAAATGGAACAAAATGGTCATGTATACCTGAACCACCCCTCGTTAGAGCTAGCTCAGAAAATGTTAGGTTCTTGCCAGGGGTGAAACCCATTGGACAGAATGCCAACACTGTGATTGAATGTTGGAAATTATTTGTAACAGATGATATGCTGCAGGATGTTGTGAAATACACTAATAATGAGATCCAGCTAAAACGGTCCACATGCACCAATAGTAGTACCCAAATGTGTATCTACCATGACACCTCGCTATCTGAACTAAAAGCCTTCATAGGTCTGTTGTATATAGCAGGACTTTATAACCATGAGAATCTAAAGGATTTGTGGAGAAGTGATGGGTGCGGCGTTAAGATTTTTAGAACAACAATGACACTCCAGAGATTTGGGTTTCTTCGAAATTGCCTACGTTTTGACGACAGAGAGACCCGTCAAGCAAGAAAAATCTCTGACAATCTGGCTGCTATTCGCTCGTTTTTTGAAACCTTTGTTTCCAATTGTCAAGCAGTTTATAAACCGTCTGAATGCATGACAGTTGACGAACAACTTGTATCATTTCGTGGTCGTTGCAGCTTTCGACAATATATGCCAAATAAACCTTCCAAATATGGTATAAAAATGTATGCCCTGGTAGATGCGAAGACATTTTACACCTTGAATTTAGAAATTTATCCTGGAACTCAGCCACCAGGTATTTATTCCTGCAGTAATAAACCATGTGATGTTGTGAACAGACTTATCGCACCTATTTCAAAAAGTAACCGAAATGTCACATTCGACAGCTGGTTCACTAGTTACTCACTGATGTTGCATTTGCTAAAAGAACATCAGTTGACCAGCACAGGAACTGTTCACAAGAACCAAGCAGAGATTCCTGAAAAAATGTTGCAAGTTCACAATAGAGAATTGTATAGTACAATCTTCGGATTTCAGAAAGACATAACATTGGCCTCCTATATGGCAAAGAAAAACAAAGTTGTGTTGATACTGTCAACCTTACACCATGACGATAAGATTGATAGTGAGTCTTCAACCCGAATGAAGCCAGAAATTGTCACATTTTACAACAAGACAAAACGTGGAGTTGATATTGTGGACAAGTTATGTAGTGAGTATGACGTCTCTCGAAACACAAAGCGTTGGCCGATGGTTGTGTTTTACTCCATCCTAAACATGTCAGGCATAAACAGTATCATAGTTTACAAAGAAAACAACAATCGCAAAATATCACAGAGGGATTTTCTTAGAGAACTGGGACTGGAGTTGATAAAAGATCAGTTAGAACAGAGGAAGAACAGTATGTATCTGCCCAAAGAATGCAAAAGAATTCTGGAGCAGACCAGCGAACAGACAGGTGAAACTTCAGGAGAACCTCATCAAACAGCAAGACTAGCGAGATGTCAAGTGTGTCCTACAAAAAAAGACCGGAAAACGAAGCACAAGTGCTGTCTCTGTAAGAGATACTTGTGTATGGAACATGCTGTTCGCATGTGTGAAGACTGCCTTAGGTGTCATCACTGACAGGAAGATAATTTTTATTGTAGAGTTTTCTTTTCTTTTTTTGGTGGTACTGGGGGACTGAACTCACGACCTCACATTTGCCAGGCAGGTGCTTATGCCACTGAGCTAAATCCTCAGCCCATAGAGTTTTATTTTCATCTGTTCATATAGGAATTTATTTCTGTTCTTTTTTAGATTTTATAAACAGCAGTTGATGTTCAAAATGTTGATGTTTATTATGAATTTTTTTTTTTATCTTTTTGAGACAGGGTCTCACTATGCAGTTCAGGCTGGCCTTGAACTCACTTTGTAGCCCAGGCTGGCCTCAAACTCAGCCATCCTCCTGCCTCAGCCTCTCAACTATTATAAATCTTAAATACTTTAAAACTTTCAATAGTATTAAAAATGTAATACTTAATTGATATTTTATTTTCCTGTTAAGTACACATATATAATAAAAATATCCTTTAAAAAAAAGCAATACCAGTGAGGTGTCAAGTATGTCCTACAAAAAAGATAAAATACATGTGCTTATTATCACTGTAAGTGACACTCGTGTATGGAACATTCTGGTTTCAGATGTGAAGACTGCCTTATGTGTCATAATTGAAGTAAAGATTTTTGGTGTACAGTTTTTATTTTCATTTTAGTTCATATAGGAATTTTTTTTCAGATTTTGTAACAAAAAAGTTGATATTGAAAATGTCAGTTTAATATAAACTCAATAAATATTAAAAATTCAGTACTTTATTGGTATTTTATTTTCCTGTGAAGTACACATTGAATAATGCAAAACTCATGAATTTAATAGAAATACTTCTTAAAAATATATATGAATGTTAGCATCCTTATACTCCTTTTCAGGAAATTTAACTTATGCACAAATAAAGAACGAGGCAGTGATTTCCGGCTGCTGCGTGCCTGGCTCTCATCCCAGCGCATCCCTGCTCTGGGTACAGCCAACTCCCCCGTGACTGCAGCACTGGCAGCAGGCTGGACTGAGCTCTGCCCTGTGCTCCACTAGCAGTGCCCTCCCCTTCTGAGTAAGAAGCATTTTCCAAGGGCCTCCAGGTTTCAAAGGTCCAGCTGGTCTAAGAGGAAGGGGCTGGTGAGACTCAGGTCTCTGTCTGATGAGGGGCCTGGGCTGTCCTCTCCTGTCTCTGTGACATGGCTCCGCTGAGGCTTCCACCCACCAGCCTGCTCAGCTTCCCTCCTGGTCCTGCCTTTCCCTCCTCCTCCAGCAGGACAGAACAAGTCCCCCCCACCCCCACCCCCAAACCAAACCAAGCAGAGGCAGCACACACAGTGGGCTTTTGTCTCCTGACTGTCCTAGTGTCTTGTTCTTTCAATTTCCAACAAGTCACTGTTATGATTTTTGTCTGGATGTCCCCCACCCCAAGCTTTGTACCCTTGTATATGGGGCTTTTTTGGAGTCCCCTCTAGAGTAGAGTTTGAGAATCTAGAGTTTGTGATTGATTCGTAGTGCCTTGCTGGGATTAAGGGTGAGTGAGTGCTGGATCAGTCCACTGATTAGATTGGTACCTCCTTAATCTCTGCAGTCTGGATGAAGATAAAGATTAAAGAAGGAAGCTTGTTTTCCCCTTTTTTGCTCTTGTTGCTTTTGCTGTCTTCTACCACCATGAACTGTTATTCCTCTGCCATGCCACCCTGGCTTGGAGGCCTAAGGATGGACTGAAACCTCTACAAACTGTGAGCTAAATAAACCTTTCCTCTTTTAACTTTGGGTGTCTACTAATTTGTCACAGCAATGAGAGAAATTACCATCACTGTCCCCACTGTCGACTTCCCACTCATTCGCCAGCTCCTGGGCTCTGCCTCCACCCCTCACTGAAGCAACCAGCCACTGACCAGCTACTAAATGAGAAGGACAGGGTCAAACGCCCTGTGACCTTGCCCTCTTCTGAATGACCATCCTTTACCCCCCACTCTCTCTTCTGAGCGCTCCTTCCCAGTGTCCTTTGCTTCTTTGGCCTGAGATTTTAGTGTCCCCAGGATGACGATTCCTTATCTACTTTATGTGCCCTGGTTCTGACTTCATCTGCCCTAGGGATGGGTCACAGCTCTAGACCATAGCTCAGCTCCTGGTCTTGCCACTTAGGGCTTCTTTTTTGTTTGTTTTGTTTATGTTTTTGTATGTAGTTGGGAGCCTGGCCTTAAATTTACCATGTAGTCCAGGATGGCCTTTGGCCATCTTCCTGTGTCAGCCTCCTGAGTGCTGGGATTACAGGAGTGGGCCACCATGCCCAGCAAGTGTGTGCTTCTTTATCTCTACCTAATAAAATCTGTCTATGCCTATTATTAATGTGTCCTGAAATTCTTTTTTTTGTGACAAGAGTCAAGAATCTGCTAGGTGGGCCACATCGAAGACCTCATCTCTTCTTTGAGAAAACCCTTTGTCCTCATCCAACAATGATCACCATGATCTTTTCCTCTCCGTTGTCACCTCCTTGGTCTTAGCTTTATCCTCCTCAGCCCGAGATGTGGCACAGCCTCTCCCCTGGCCTCCCTGCTTATGCCCTGGTTTCCATGGTTACTCCAGCTAGCCAGATCCTGTTATTAAGAAAGTCAGGTGCCACTGTCATAGGTGGCCAAGGCCTGGGTCTGGCCCCCGGCTCACTGGGTTTGTTCACCTGCTTAGCAGACCCTGAGAGTCAGGGAGGTGGCCCTTGCCTGCAGTACCAGCACTTAGGGGACTGAGGCAGGAGGAGTATGCTGGAGTTCAAGGCCAGGCTGCACTACAGAGCAACACCCTGTTTCAAGCAAACAGCAACAACAACCCCAAAAACACATCCCATAAAACATGGACAGAGTTAATTTACAATTGGGTCAAATCGGGAGGGCAGCTAGTCTGTACTTGTCCTCTTGGAGGGCACAGTAGTGCTGTAGTCTGTAGACAAGGTAAAACAAACATTAAATTTTAATGTGGAAACTTAACCAAGCTTGGCCCGGAGGGCTGGGAGGAGGGTGGTGGTATGATTTCAGCATGAAGAAATTGGTGTGTTTAAAAAAATCTTAAATTTTTTCCAGTACTGAACATAGGGCCTTTGCACTGAGCTACATCTCCAGCCTTTTTAAATGTTTTTTAAATTTTTAAAAAATTAAAAAAAATTTTTTTTGAGACAAGGTCCCAGTATGTAGTTCAGGCTGTCCTTGAACTATGTAGTCCAGGCCGGGTTTGAACTTGCAGTGATCCTCCTGCTTCAGCCTCCCAAGTGCTGGGATTATAAGTGTGATATAAAGAGCTCTTTAATATTTATTTCTATTTTAGGGGCTGGGACTTTAGCTCAGCGGCATCAGTGCCTGCCTTGCAAGCAGGCAGTCACGAATTCGATCCCTGGTACTGATAAAAAGGAAAAAGACAAAAAAATATTTATTTCTATTTTTTTAATTCACTTGATTTCAAAGAGAAAAAGTAAAATTTCAAAACACGTCATTTGGGGCCACAATACTACATACATTGCACATTGTCATCCCCAAATCTTTCACCCAGAGCACAGCACATCTGCCTTCAATTGTCCAAACAGTGCCAGCACAAATCTTTCTCTTCAGTGAACTCAGAGAAATCAGTAGTATACCATATTAATTATTATGTGTGTGTGTGTGTATACTTTATTTTTTCTGCTTTTTTTAAAATTTGGTACCAGAGATCAAACTCAAGACCTTGCATTGAGCAAAATCCCCAGCCCTATAAACTTTAGTTTTAAAGATCATTTCAACTATTCAGCTTGCTTTTTTTTTTTTTTTTTTTTTTTTGGTCTTTTTCGTTTTTATCAGTACCAGGGATCGAACACAACTGCACACTTGCAAGGCAGGTGCTTATGCCGCTGAGCTAAATCTTCAGCCCCAACTATTCAGTTTTTAGCATTGCTCCTTGGCTCCAGAACTTGCCTCATAAGGACCTGACTTGCCTTCCATCCTACTCCGGACCCAGAATGCTCTTCCCTGGAAAGCTGTCCCCTTACCAGACACTTCACTGCAGATTCACACAAAAGATCACTACCAGCTCCTTGCTCTCTGACCTCTCCTTATTCCTCCTGACTGCTGAGCCCTTGGTCAGTTTCCTTTGGTGTCTACAGCAGTGCTTTGCATTTTAGAAGCCCAACATTGGCCCCTGACGGAAGGCATGGATGGACAAGTTCGGGGTGACCCTGCCTGCCTTCTGCCTGAGACCATTTCCTCCTCACAGCTGCCTGGGCTGGGAAAGGTCAGGAAACATGGAACAGGGTAGCTATCCAGACTCCAAAACCCCAAGCAACGTCGGTTTGACCAGCCCTTAAGTGTGGGGTGAGATTGTGTTTCAGGTTTTCCAGAGACATTGCCCAATCCTCAACTTTTGTGTGTGTGTGTGTGTGTGTGTGTCTTTTTGAGACAGGGTCTCCCTATGCGGTTCAGGCTGGCCTTGGACTCGCTGTGTAGCCCAGGTTGGTCTCAAATTTGGAAGGATCTGCCTGCTTCAGCCTCCCAAGTGCTGGGATTATAGGAATGCGCCACCAAGCCCGGCTTCCAATCCTCAAATCTAATGAGATAAGAGAAGAAAACAGATAATGAACAGCGCCTGACATATTACAGGTCCAATAAATAGGTTTTGCTGTTGGTGAATTTAAGAGACATGGAGGTACAGACATTTCGTGGGGCCTAAGGAGGAAAGAACTTTAGTGTGTTGGAGAAGGTGGGTAAACTGGACTTTTGGCGGGGACAGAGGAGCCTGCTGGACGCCAAGGGGAGTTGCTGTGGGAGTCTAGAGAGGAACCCTCAGTACCAGAATTCTCCCCGGGGCCCACAGGACTTCGCAGACAGGGCAAGGGTCCACGTTCTGTCCCGACACGCCGGAGACTGGCAGCTGGTGGCGGGGCTACTGGGAGGTAAGTCGAGAACGCCCACCCTCTCCTCAATTCCCTGGGACCCCCTGATCCCCACGCCGAGAGCTCAGCCCCAGACCCATCTGCGGGTATTGAGCTCTTGGCCTCCATAGCTCCGTCGTAGTGACGTCTCGCAAGGAGGCGTGGCATTGTTGGTGAGCGGAGCCCAGCGCGAGGGGCGGGGCCAGACGAAGCTTTTGGCCCCGCCTCTGGAGGGAGGTGGATGAGGAGACCGGAAGCGTTTGCTTCCTCTCGCCTCGGTGCTTCCTTTAGTCCCGCCCCCGGCTACGTGCGCAAGGTCATGTTCCGGAAGTAAAGGGGCCATGTTGATGGGTGACCCCGGGAGAGGCACTAGGCGAGAGGCGAATCCGGAGGAGTGGTAACGCGCGCGGCCCGCGGGTGAGTGAGAGAGGTGAGGTCGCCGGCGGCGGGCCGGAGTGAGAGGGCTGAGATCGCTCTCAGGGCCGCTGCCGGCGCCCCCATCCGGCCCAGGCCCTCGCTACCGGCCTGTGCCCGGACTCCCCCGGGCCGGCCCTGCGCTTTCTTTTGGAAGCCTCTCCGTGTCTCCAGCCCTAGTCTCCAAAGGCTTCCGGGCTTGGAAGCAGGCTCGGCCTGACTTCAGGGTCCCCGCTCCCCGCCCGGTCCCGCCCCCAGGGACGGCACCGCGGGGCGCCGGGCCCCTGCCGCCCATCGCCCAGCGACCTTGTAGCAACAGCCCTCGCGTGACGGTCGCTTTCTACCTCATCAAGCACCTCTCTTGGTCTTGTGCCTCTGCCCACCGGAGGCCTCGACCAGAGGGTCGAGGAAATCTTCTGCAGTTGAGGAAAAAGGGACAGGGACGGTGGCTTGCCCGAGCTCGTGCAGGAAGTTAGCAAGGCCAGACAGAGGCTGTGGCGAGTTGGCTTTGGGTCCAAAGGTCAGCTTTTCCTCCAAATAGCTGCCCCATTCAGGCGCTTTTCTTTAGTTGCGAAGTGGGTGCGATTATTTCTTACACATAGGTACATTGTGAGTTTTCCATGTTTCACTCAGCGTTTCGAGCAGCTGCTGCGTGCCGAGCATGTGCTGGGAAAGTTCCTGGGATGCCCAGAAGTGTTGGATATTTGGGAAGTACACAGTCGCACACAGCACAGGGTCACCTATATACAGTGCACCCAGAGTTGGAGTCAGGAGCACCGCCTCTTCGTTTTAGAGTTGTGCACCTGTCCACAAGTAATAAGTTGTTATTGAGACATGCTTGGAACATTTCTGGTGGTGAATAAGGCTTCAGAAGTGATCATTGTTATTATGAACTCGGACCACATCATAGGTTCATAGTTAAAATGTGGTAATCGATGACAAAGCACTTTACAGATGATAACACTCCAGCCAATGTAAGTGTTTATTGTTACTGAGGACTGGCTGTAGCAGTTTGTGTGTAACTTAACTGTGATATTTATTGAGCATTTACAGACCCGGCTAGGTAGCACTAGTGGCTTTTCCCTGCTCAGTACGTGATAGGTGAGGTGCTGTTCTAAATGTATCTCTTTTAATGCTCAGACCAATCATTTAGACAGAATGCGATTTATTCTCACGGCACAGAGAAGGAACTGAGCCAAGCACAGGGACGTTAGAAACTTGCCCAGGGTAATGCTGCTCATTAGAGTGGTGGTACTGGCGTGCAAATCTTGCTGAGTTCTTGACTTTAGCCACTCTGGGCTATGCCTTGTGATGAAATTCTGTTACAGGTGCTTTATAGATAGGCAGTTTAAAAAATAGTAGTTGCTCTTACTATGCTACCATTATATGTGAGGACGCTAATACTCAAGAGGTTAAGAACTTGACCCAAAGTAAAGTGGTATTGCAGGATTGCAGCCCGGGAGTCCAGCTTCCAAGCAGCAGTGAGCCATAACCTGTACTTTCCCAGGAGGGGGTGTTCAAAGGCCAAGGTCAAGTCAGTTCTGAATGAAAACGTCAGACCTGCACATTCTCAGCAGACCCTGATGTCATTCATTCTTATTTTAGCCTTGTACACTTTCTCTTCTGTATAGAGCGTGACGCTAGTCCCGCCTGTCCCCCATGGCCCCGTGGAGCCGAGAGGCGGTGCTGAGTCTCTACCGGGCTCTACTGCGCCAGGGCCGAGAGCTTCGCTACACTGATCGAGATTTCTACTTTGCCTCTGTCCGCCGAGAGTTCCGGAAAAACCAGAGGCTTGAGGATCCTGAGGCCCGGGAGAAGCAGCTGGAGAAAGGGCTTGTCTTCCTTCGCAGCAAACTAGGGGGACTTGTTTAGGATCCTCCCCTTTACTCTTACACCCTGACTGCAAGGAAAGAGGACAAAGTGTGGACACTCCTGTCCCCCCCCCCCCCACCTCCCAGATGCATTAAGAAGCCTCAGGTAAGTGGGTGATCCTTTCTTTAGGCTTCATTTTTTTTCCCCCCTGATGCAGGGATCCAGGAAAGGGAAATTGTTTCTTTTTAGTGACCAACACTCTTCCTCTTGTTCCTCAATGAAGGAAATCAGACATATTAAAAGAAGTGGGTCCTTTTGTGGGAAAAAAAGTAGGCCCTGAATTTAAGGCCCCAACAGAACAGTATCAGCATCTTATTTCATAAAACATTTTATTATATATGAAAATGTTTAGAAAATCAGTTGGTTAAAATCATCTGGTAGAGTTCAGTTCCAAGCCACTCATTCTTTAGTAGATTCAGGTCTGTGTACTGTGTGTGGGTCAGATCATATTTCCTGAAACACAGCTGTGTCCTTTCTAACACAGTCTGCAAAGCAAGCATAGTGTTCAGACTTCAGAGTCCAGTGCTGGGTTCAAATCCTGGCACTGCTACTAATAGCTGTGGGAATGAGGGCAAGTCATGAAACTTTCCGGGCCTTCATTTTCCCATTTGTGAGATATGGATGATAGCAATTGCCTTCTTGGGTTATTGTGAGATCCCAGACAGTGCACACACAGCACTGGGGATGGTTCTTGGCAAGGACTGGGCTAGTTCTATCTACTCTGGATGCGGTGTCAGCAAGTCTCACTGCAACATAGTGATTATATTTAATTCAGCAGCCTTCCTGGAGGGCCTGGGAGGGACCTGGTATTCTGATAGGCTCTGGAGATAGAGATGAATGATGTGGCTCACCAGGGAACTCAGCCTTAGGCAGATATTGAAGGGAAGCGGCTCTGTCCTAGAAGGTTGGGTAAAGAGCTGTGGGGGCAGGAAGGAAGGCAAAGATCTGGTTTTGTGGTGGGAGAGAATGATGGAGGTGGCTATAGAAAAGAGGACACCTAAATGAGAACCAGAAGCTTTTGCTGGGCAAGGGGATAGGAATAAAGTGCCTGGTGGTAGAAAGTGCATTTTGTAGTCTGGAAATCTGGCATTTCTAGAATGGTAAATCTGTGTGGCAAGCAGTTGGTGCTGAGGCTGGACCAGGTCTGGAAAGACCGTCCCGGCTTTGTAAGGAGGGAATGGCGTGGCCATGTTTGTGCCTCTTAGCATACCACAGTGGTGTGGGAAATAAACTGGTGAGAGACGAGGGGCAGCGAATCTGGGCAGATGGGTGGAGGCCCTGGAATGGTGAGGGTGGAAATCCGACCTGTGCAGGAGCCTGGGGCTTGGTGGCCGCGTGGCTGAGGCAGGAGGAGAGAAGGTGAAGGGTAGCTGCAGGGGTTGCCTGTTTTCAACTGAGACGTAGACAGAGGAGCCTTCTGTAATGGCTTTGGTTCTTCTCGGACAGTTTCATTGATTGGCAGGCCTGCCTTCTGCTGTACAAAGCCAGGGCCAGGCTGATGCCTGCTGGAGCCTGCCTGCCCTGAGAGGGGAGCCCACCTCAGGGAAACTGAAACCTTTGTATTCTTTTTTATTTTTTTTGTCTTTTTCTTTTTTTATCGGTACTGGGGATCGAACTCACGACTGCCTGCTTGCAAGGCAGGTGCTTATGTCGCTGAGCTAAATCCCCAGCTCCTAACCTTTGTATTCTTAAGCTGTGTAACTGTGAGTTGTTATATTTTGCCATTATCAGCCACTAAAAAAAAAAAAAAATCAAGTGCCATAGGGTTAAAATTTGTTTATGGAGCAGACATTAATCCCTGGGGATGTCACAGTGAATGTAACAAATGTGTTCAGTGTAGAAAAAAATCTAGAAGCTGGTAGTGCAGTGGTTACAAGAGAGAAAAGCAGAGGAGGGGAGATGGTTTGGGATTCCTCTAGATCAGGTCTTCCCAGCAGTGTAAGTCCTAGGTTCAAATCCCAGGTGCACAGTTTACAGATACTGGTAAGTTACTGTGGGCTAGACACTTAATGTCTTCCTCACCTTCATCTTTAAACTGAGATCCCAGTATTACTGACCTCATGGGATTGTCATACTGGAGGTTAGAGAATATGTCAGATTCCAAGCACAGAGTGTCCTTTTCCTGTCCATCATGAAGGGACGTGGTCGACCCTGTCTAACAAGACAGGTTAACAGATAAAAGTGTGGCAGATGTTTTATTTATTTAATCAAAAATGCAAGTGCCTGTAAGCCCTGAGCAATCAAGACCCACTAACCCAGGGTAGATTACTTGTTTTAATCTTTGATTCAAGAAATTGCACAGTGAGCTGGGCATGGTGGTGCATGCCTGTAATCCCAGCACTTGGGAGGATGAGATAGGAGGATCGTTGCAAGTTGGACACCAGCTTGGGCTACAAAGTGGGGGCCAGAACCGCATGGTGAGATCATATGTCAAAAAAGGAAAAAAAAATTCACAATCATGTAGAAATACGATTTCTACATGATTGAACAGAATGTGATGTAACAGTAATAGACTCAGAGAAGCCCAGAGGGCCAGTTTATGTTCTTTTTGGCATCTCAGTTATTGTACTTCTTCCTGGCAGATGTGGGCAAGGTGCTTTCTGTGGGAGTCCTAGGACCTACAGCCACAGGAAGGTCAGAGAACATTATGCAGAAAGATGGGGAGAAGCTAGCATAATATTTTTAGACTTTCTGCCTGGCTTTGGGGAAAGAGGGTACTAGTTTCCATGACTTGCCTTGGGGAAGATGAATTCTTGTTTTTGTTTTTTTGGGACAAGGTCTCACTGTGTAGTTCTGGCTGGCCTTGAACTCACTATGTAGCCCAGGATGTCTTCAAATTCCCAATGAGCTTCCTGCCTCAGCCTCCTGAGTGCTGGAATTACAGGCGTATGCCATCACCAAGCCTGGCTAAGTATAGTTTTTATGGTTTCCTCTTGGAGGAGACTGAAGGCGTAGAAGGCACGAGAGCAGGGCGTCCGGGAGAAACTCACTTCCGAGGCCTTTCCTCTGGGATGCTGTTTCCTGAGCTTCCACATTCTCTGTTAGGTGTTCTCATGTGCTCAAGCCAGACGTGCGTATGAATTTGAATTCTCCAAGTAGAATAAGTTGGAATTGTCATAGTTAGGTGATGTCAAACTGGGAAGCTGCCAGGCCTCCTCCTTACCACACTGGGGTGATTTGTGTTTCTTTCCCACTGTGGTACCGTCTTTAGGGTTTCTTCCCCCTTCTGTACTAGAGGGGTTGAACCCAGGGCTTTCACACTGAGCTACTTCCCAAGCCTTTTTAGAGTCAGGGTCTGAGTTGCTAAGTTGCCTTGGCTGGGGTCAAACTTGGGTTGGGGTCTCCCAGAGTGCTGGGATTCCAGGTGGCACCCACACACCCTGCTACCTTCTTAAGCATTTTTAAGTGTACAGTTTGGTGGTGGTGGGACGGATTTCCAGAATGTGTTTTTATCTAGGAAATCTGCAACTTTACCCCTTAAACAATTTGGTTAAACAATGTGGTTCTCTTTTCTTTTTTTTTTTTTTTGTCTGTAGTCTAGGCAGGCCAGATTAGCCTGAAACTCATGATCCTCCTGCCTCAGCCTACTGTGTGCTGGGATGACAGGTGTGTGCCACTGAGACCAGCAAGTGTTCCTCTTGTACTGAGGAGCCAGGCTCCTTCCTCCTTACGCTGTGGTGCTGTCTCCTGACTGTCTGCAGGCTAACACAGCAGAGCCTGAGCACAGGTCCGTGGTGGGAGGCAGCTTCCACTGAACAAATTAGTTTTAGAATGAGAGGGATGTCACCCTGTTGGAGCGTGTGGGTGCTCCCTCAAGGTCACCCGGTCTGCGATGTCACCTGGTCAGAGGTGTGGGAGCGTAGCGTTAGAGTAGGGAGAGCCTTTAACAAGCCTGCTCTCCTAACACAGTTTTGGTCTGAAGCCCAGGGGAGCTTTGCAGGGTTTCGGAGGCCAGCTGAGCTGTGTCCCTGAAGGTGCAGTGTAGGTCAGAGGACAGTCTGGGATTCCAGCGGAGACATATCTGAGAGCCCCCACTGTGGTACGTGTGTACACAATTTATAGAAGAGTTCGCTTCCAGCCTTGTCACAGATGTCCTTCCCTCACCGCAGCCCTGTGATTACCCCTTTTTGTCTTTTTCTTCTTTTGGTTTTCAAGACACGGTTTCACTGTGCAGTTCAGGCTGGCCTTGAGCTCACTTAGCCCAGGCTGGACTTGAACTCACAGCAACCCGCCTGCCTCTCAGGGCTGGGATGACAGGTGTACGCCATCATGCCTAGCTATCCCGTTTTCATAGCTGCAGGGTTAGTGACCCGTTTGTGGTCACCTGGCAAAGCAAGGCTCAGGACAGCTCCTCAGGCCCAGGACTCGGCCTCTAAAGCCTGTGTGCCCCCCCAAGCTGCTCTGCCACCTTGTTGTTGTTGTTCTTCCTTCCTCTTTTTTTCATCTTCTTTTTTTCCTCCTTCCTTCTTCCTCATTCTTCTTCCTGCTTTCTTCCTCCCCTCCCCACCCGCCAGTAATGCAGCAACCCTCCTGCCTCAGCCTCCGCAGGGCTGATATTACAAGCATGCATCACCACACCCGGCTACCACCTTGTCTTAACACCTGTCCCACAGAGGCCAGGAGGCCCCCTCTGGCTTTTGCGTGGAGGAGCGGATGCTCTCCCGGTCACGATGCTTCTTTCAAGGACCATTTAGAGGGCGCTGCATGCACTGGATTTTCCTATGGTAAATATATCAGCAAAATTAACTTGTTCATTCGGTGCTGGAGATCAAACCCAGGACCTTGTGCGGTTTTTTTTTTTTTTTTTTTTCTTAAAAAAAAAAGTCATGGCTCAGTAGGGAAGTCTATAATATTCTACTTTCTCTTGGTCAGACTACTGTCTCTGCCATCTGGATGTCCCATTGCTGTCGCAGTGGTCCCTGCAGGGAGTGGGCTGGCTGTCTTGCCTAATCCTGCTTGGAAGTACCAAGTTGAAATATTCCCCTTGGCTGCTCTGTGCATTTGAAGCAGAAATCTATTTTGTTTGGCCAGATAATGTCTCCTTATTGTTCTAAACCCAAAGCTTCTATGGACTGTAAAAGGTGAAGAAAAAGTGCCACCCAGCTTGTGAATCCATTCCTTTCTTCTTTGCTTCGTGCTGGGGATCGGACTCAAGGCTAGCACTTGCCAGGCAGACGCTTGTGCTGCCCAGCCAGCCACCAAGGCTGTGCGTGTGAGGAGAGACAGACCTTTCGGTCTTGGCCGGAACTCTTAGTTAATGCAGTCACTGGAGAGTCAGATACTTCGTTTTCCTGTATTTGTTTATTCAGTCTTTTTTTCTTGAGGTGGGAAGTGCAGGCAGAGGGCATGAGGTGTTAAACAGTAATACCCAGTCCCCGCAGGATAGGAGAATGTTATTTTATAGTGGAAGATACTTGCACTGATCCCATCTCATTTTTTTATTTTTGTTGCTAGGGATTGAGCACAGGGCCTTGTGCATGCTAAGCTTGGGCTCCTCAGCCGAGCCACACCCCGGCCACAAATTCTCTTGTCCTGTTGTGGGTGTTGGGGGACCCTGAGCGGCACACTGCTTGGTCTTTCCTGAGGACTCGATCTGTGGGAGAGAGCAGCAGCGCTGAGCTCAGCAGTCAGCTGGTCCTCATGGCCTCCTCCACATGGTCAGGCCTAGGGCTGCTCTGACGAGGACGACGCCGTGTAGCCAGGGCATGTATGCATGCGTGATGTCCTCCCTGGAGTGCTGGGCAGCCTCTTCTGGCTGTGCCCATGTGTCCCTTTTAGGTAAACACATTTTCAGTTCTGCCAAGTGCATTTGAGCAGGGGGTGTTTTTATGTTCCAGCCTACAGCTCGAGTCTGAGGCATCCCGGTGTTTTTCTGGGCCTTGTCTGAGCCTTAGTAGTCTCCCTGCATACCTACCCCAAAGCGCAGGCACTTGTCCAGTGGAATGTCCACAGAAGACCCTTACATTCCCCCGTGGACTTGGAGTTATGTCCCCACCTGCAGGGTGTGTGCTCCTCACTCCTTTGTGTTTTGTTTGCAGAAGACAGAGTCGGGACCAATTTGATGTGGGTTGGGGTAAGCATAATACTGAAGAAAAAGCAGCGTGACAGGAGTTGGGAGTGCTGAGTGCTGGAGACACACATGTCACTTTTTTCTAGGACTTCAGGCAAGTCACCCCTTATTGAGAAATGATGAGATTGGACTAGATAAGCCTCAAGGCCCTTCTCAGTTCTAACATGTCATAAAGTAGGAACCAAAGGAGCAAAACCTTACCAGCCATTATGCCATTGTGATGGGGCACAGAGAGGGTGACACTACCTTGTGGGTAGGTGTTTCATTGTAGTACAAAAAAGGACTGATGGTGGCCTTAAAGCTTTGTCTGCCCATGGAGAGGGTTTCCCACAGTGCACACCATCAGGTGCCCCCCTCATATCCAGAGGCATCATGGGACATGCTGCCTCCCTCAGCATGAGAGCTTGTAGCGTGGAGGCGGATGGGCCTTGAAGTACCGGGTGGTGATGGCTGTGCTGTGTCCTCATTCTTAGGGGAGCGATGGCAGGCGCTGGTGAGCGCAAAGGCAAGAAAGATGACAACGGCATTGGCACGGCCATTGATTTTGTGCTCTCCAACGCCCGGCTGGTGCTGGGGGTGGGTGGAGCAGCCATGTTGGGCATCGCCACGCTGGCAGTTAAGCGGGTAAGTACCTGTGCCAGGGCCAGGGCCGGGAGGTGGTGAGGCAGCCTCCACAGACTGGAACCCTTTGGAGCAAGATGGTACCAACTCGATGGCTTGGTACTGTGGGACGAGATGCTAAGAGAACTAAGTAAGCTTGCTTCTAGGCACTGGGGTTACAAGCAAACAAAAAATTCCAGGTAACCTAAACAGCCTCCCTTGACTGCTTTGTTTAGTAGTGCAGATCAGACCTAGGGATGAGCTATCACAGAACTGCATCTCCTGGTCTTTTAGTTCTAAGTCCTCAAATTTGCCATTCTCCTGCCTTTGCCTCCCAAGTAGTAGGGCTTACAGCCATCTGCCACCGCAGCTAGCGACTACCTTATTTAAAATAGCAGCACCAAATAAAATAAAATAAAAGCACCTCATTGCACACAAACTTATATCTCCTTTTCCAACTTTTCTTTAAAAAAAATTTATTTCTGTATATGTTAACTTGTTTATTATGTATTGTTTGCGTTCCCCCAGTAGACTAGAAACTCCCTGAGGGTGAGGATTTGGCTGCTTTATTCCTAGCACCTAGTATAATGCCTAGCATGTGAAGCCTCTGAATAAAATATATTTCTTTTAACCTCTTATCCTAATTTTCTTTTTTCTTCTTTTTTTCCTTGAAATAAAGTGGATTTGAAAAAAAGAAAAAAAAAAAAATAAAAATTTCTGTATTTGTGGATTCCAGACAGCTCAGACAACCACAGATTGAAAGTATTTTTAAAAACATGCAGCCAGGGGCTGGGGATTTAGCTCAGTGGCATAAGTGCCTGCCTGGCAAGCGCTAGGTGGTGAGTTTGAGCCTGGGTACCAAAAAAAAAAAAAAAAAAAAAAAAAAAAAGACTCAGAAGTTATGCAATGAATGTGGTTTACTTTTGGGGTCAGGGATTTAGCTCAATGGCACAGCGCAAGATCATGAGTTCCATACCCGGTACCACAGAAAAAAAAGTCTAGAGTAAAATTGTTGTTAATTACAGCTTGAGGCTGGAGAGCACATAGCAGGCTCTGGGTTCCCTCTGCAAAAGGAAACAGTAGTTGCCTTTTCTGAGGCAAAGCTGCGGAGGAGGGAACTGGAAGGAAGCAGAGGAGCGAAGCCGCTCTCTGTCCTGTGTCCTCTCTGCCACTGCAGATGTACGATCGGGCGATCAGTGCCCCTACAAGTCCCACTCGCCTGAGCCATTCGGGGAAGAGGAGCTGGGAAGAACCAAACTGGATGGGCTCCCCTCGGTTGCTGAATAGGGACATGAGGACAGGCCTGAGCCGGTCCCTGCAGACCCTCCCCACAGACTCCTCGGCCTTTGACACAGGTGAGGAGGGCTGGTAGCTCCTGGGTCCTAGTCTCTGGTAGCGCCTTCGAGTTGCATGAGCATTCCTAACCATGGCTCGCCAGGTTGTGCAGGCATCGTGTCCAGCCCTTATCCTTCCTGGGGCTGAGGCAGCTGTGGGCTGAGCAAGCGTGGGAAGAGCTCACGTGCTTCTCTCTCTTGCCTTGGCAGACACATTCTGCCCGCCCCGGCCCAAGCCACTGGCCAGGAAAGGCCAGGTAGACTTGAAGAAGTCACGACTCCGCATGTCCCTGCAGGAGAAACTTCTTTCTTACTACCGGAGCCGGGCAGCCATCCCTGCTGGAGAGCAGGCTCGGGCCAAGCAAGCTGCCGTGGACATATGTGCCGAGCTCCGGAGCTTCCTGCGGGCCAAGCTGCCTGACATGCCACTTCGGGACATGTACTTGAGTGGCAGCCTCTATGATGACCTACAGGTAACTAGACCCTTCATGAAGAGTGGGGTAGGCACCCACCAAACGCCGCGCAGGAAGTCAGCATCTCAGGCTCCCAGAGGGACCGGGCTCCTGCTGCTTGTGAACCCTGCACCCGGCAACAGCATTTGTTGTTCTGCCGTGGTGTCTTCTTTAACCCTTTCTCATTGTTTAGTCATGCAACATTTAAGAAGCTGTTGGAGCCCGCTGCTTCTTGTATTCCTTTTTAAAACTTTTTTGAGACAGGGTCTTACTACGTAGTCCCGGCTTTGCCTTGAACTTGAACCTCAGCCTCCCTAGTGCTGGGGTGACAGGCATGGTCACCATGCCTGGCTTTTGTGTATTCTTGTTTTTGTTTCTGGCGCCGGGGATCGAACTCACGACCTTGTGTTTGCCAAGCAGGCACTTACACTGCTGAACTAAACCCCCGGCCCACCTTTGTGTATTCTTGTCCTCATCTCCTGTCTGGTTTTGTCTGTGTGGGTTGCCTCAGTGACATGAAAGATTTCTCAGCTTCTATTCTTGTTGGGAGAGTGCAAGACGGTAGGTTCTGTGTGTGTGTGTGTGTGTGTGTGTGTGTGTGTGTGTGTGTGTGTCTTGAGCAGAGTAAACCCCTCGAGCCCTTTTCAACTCTTTGCTGACAGGTAGTGACAGCTGACCATATCCAGCTCATCGTGCCCCTTGTGCTGGAGCAGAACCTGTGGTCTTGCATCCCTGGCGAGGACACTATCATGAACATCCCTGGCTTCTTCTTGGTTCGCCGTGAGAACCCGGAGTACTTTCCGCGTGGCAGCAGTTACTGGGACCGCTGTGTAGTAGGGGGCTACCTCTCCCCAAAGACAGTGGCAGATACATTTGAGAAGGTAGTGGCAGGTTCCATCAACTGGCCAGCCATAGGGTCCCTCTTGGACTATGTGATCCGACCAGCACCGCCCCCAGAGGCCCTGACGCTAGAAGTGCAGTATGAGCGGGACAAACATCTCCTTATTGACTTCCTGCCTTCGGTGACCCTTGGTGACACTGTCTTGGTAGCCAGACCACACCGGCTAGCCCAGTATGACAACCTGTGGCGGCTGAGCCTGCGTCCAGCCGAGACGGCACGCCTGCGGGCTTTGGACCAGGCTGACTCAGGCTGCCGATCTCTGTGCCTCAAGATTCTCAAGGCCATATGCAAGTCCACCCCAGCTTTGGGCCACCTCACTGCCAGCCAGCTAACCAATGTCATCCTCCACTTGGCCGAGGAGGAGGCTGACTGGTCTTCAGACATGCTGGCCGATCGTTTCCTGCAGGCCCTGAGGGGACTTATCCGCTACTTAGAGGCTGGAGTCCTGCCCAGTGCCCTGAACCCCAAGGTGAACTTATTTGCAGAGCTCACCCCTGAGGAGATCGACGAGTTGGGATACACTCTCTATTGTTCCTTGTCTGAGCCAGAGGTGCTGCTGCAGACCTAAGGGCAGGTGAAGGCCAGAGTAGCTGTCGGGTGGTCAGGCCCGGATTCTCCTTAGGAACACGCGGCTATGTAGTTGGTGCCTCCCAGGGCCCCGAGGTGCCTCCTGGTTCTTTCTGGTCATCGTCTCAGTCACTTCATGCTGTTTAGAATGCCGCCTCTTTCATCCCTTATTTCCTTACCCAGCCCCATCTATTTTTGTTACCAAACACTGTGCTCCCTGCTCCCTGCTTGGTCTAAGCTGATTTTTTTCTGGAATGAATTGAGAAGCTAGAGTGCTGGTGGCCTGAGCTGTTGAGACCACTGGTGTTTGGCATTTTGTCCCACATGTCCTGCTTTGTCTGCCCTGCCCTGCCCTGCCCTTTATTTCTTCCTATTCAGTGTCTTGTCTTTTTCCTGTCCTCTGTTTTGGTTTTGTTCCTGGAGCATGACTTGCCTAATCAAGATGTTGCCTTTCAGTTCAGTATCAAAAGAGCTGTGATTCCAGGGTCGCAAGCTCAACTCTGCAGAGTGAGCAATGAGACAGTATTCAGGGTTTCTGGGGTGAGGCTGGCGGAAGAGCTGGTCTTTGACCCTGGTTGGTAGCAAACCCGTCCCTTGACTTCTTCAACCAACTGTTCGTAAATGCCAAGAAGGTTTCTCCTGGGGTCACTGTTACTGACTGGTACAGGATCAACAGGATGTAGTTATTTGGAGTTTTTATTTATTAGTGGCCATGAGTGCACAGGGTACCAGGAGCTGGTTCCTGGGGCCTGGTGGAGGGCCCGGTCTCATCAGTGGCTGCCCGTTAGATAACAAACGGATGCTGGCTGTAAAGGCCGCACCTCCTGTGGGTGCTCCTTTCATTCTTTTCCTTCTCAGTTGCCAGTTGGACAAGACCTGGCAGGAGCCCAGGCTTAGCAGTAGAGGCTGAAGGAGGTGGGCAGCAGGCTGTCAGCTGGAAACCCAGGCACGGCCGGGGCTCAGTGAACGTGCTCTGTGTTCTGAAAGACCTCGCCTTTCTAAGATGTTGCCTTAGAGCAAGAACAGGCCCAGCGGCTAGCGGGCACCCCGCGCCCCATGTCTGCTGAAGCATCAGAAAAGAGTTGGCCAAGTGCTCCTGGTACCCAGAGGCCCAAGGGCAGGTGGAAGTGTGCAGCCCTCTTCCCCCGTCCAGTCTCTCGCCAGGCACCTGGCACCTGGGGAGATCGTGCTACCCAGGAAGAGTACAGATAAATCACAGGATAGGGAGGTGGGTCCTCCCCGTGGTCCTTCTTGGTTCCTGCTGCTAAAAACTGCACTATTTGTGGCAATGTAAATGTATCCTGAGGGTGAGAGGAGTTTAATACACCATGTCCATGTTTCTGTCTGCTTTGTGTTTTTTCTGTTTGTGGCAGAAAGGCTGACAGTTTTGTTTCTGATCTGCCCATCCAGGACTTTGTTCTGATCGAGTCATATTTTATCTGTTCTTACTACCTCTCCATCAATGAGATTCTGTGTTCTCTGCAGCTGTCTCATTCCTTCCCAGTGACAGTGACATGAAATTACTTAAAATAGCACTGATACCCAGCACCCTGCAGTTGAGGGCAGAGATAGATGCCTGCCTCTTTTTGTCATAGATTAGGAGGTTGAGAATAACTTCTACTGTATTTAGAGTTTTTCTGCTGCTCTGGTATCTGCAAGGTCCCTTGCTTTATTTGGATAAGGTGTCAAGAGACAGCTAAAAAGATAAAGCCAAGAACCTTGAGAGGTGCTGCACCCCAGCTGTCATTAGAGTTAAATGAGGGGTGAAGCCCAACCAGGGCTCCAGTGACCCCTCTGGTGTCCTGGGGGTTGTTAAGGGGGTGTCACAGGTGAGAAGCAGGTTGTTAAGATAAAGGATTTGGTTCCCCTGCCATGAGTGTTATAAAACTCAAAAATTCCCTATCCTGTTGTTTGTATATAAAACTTTGGAAAGACCTTAAAAAAGAAAAGCTTTAAAGAATCTCAAGATTTTAGAGTCTCAAATTAACAAAATCAAGTATAACTGAACTTAGGGAATTTCTGTCTGTAGGGGCAGTTCTGACTTGTAACTATGCTTCACAAAACCAAAACCATAACTGTTTTTTTTTGGTACTGGGGATCAAACTCATGACTGTGGGCTTGCCAGGCAGGCATTCATGCCACTGAGCTAAATCCCCAGCCCCCAACTTGCTTACAAGCAAGACCCTTGCCCATAAAGCTTCAGCACTAAAGCAGTGGAACTCCGCGCTGGTACTGGTTTACGATTTTCTTCATGAAATGAAGAAACTGCCCTCTTCATGAAGGCAGGCAGCTCCCGGGGAGGCTGGGATGGAAGGCGGAGTCACCTACAACACATTCTCCCTTTTAAAAACCTGGAGAAAGACGCAGAGGCCGCCCCACCCTTTCTGTCAAGTAGCTCCCACTTTTGCCTGAAGGAGTAGCAAGTGTTCCTACTTCTCCATCTGGAGATCTTTTTTGGTACCTTCTAGATTAGCAAATGCACTCAAGTCTGATGTTTAAAAACACACGCATCATTGTCTTGGACACTTCATAAATTCCAGGTTCACTTTGGGTCTTCCCTGTTGCCCATTCTTGACAAATGAGTTCAGGACAGCAGGATTTTTCTTTATACACTGAGTGATATTAAAAATAGACCTTGAAGCTTGTGTTTGGAAGAGCTCTGTTGAGGAAACTTACTGTCTCCTGGGTCTTAGTCTCTGGCCACCCACCTGTTCGGGCTTCCTGTGAGCTATTTTGCCTCCTTGTAGTCGACTCAGGAGCTCAGGTGGTTCACGTGAGGGGTCAGCTTCAGGAGAGGGCCCTGGGGAGATCCTGGGTGTGGGGGGTCTGTAAGTAGGGATCCCTGTACATGTCCAGAGCCTTGGCAACCTGCCTTGGGACCTGGTTGAGAACTGCTCTGGAGGGCTTTGCCCTTTTACTTGAAGGTCAGAGCCAAGGAGGATGGTCAGAGACGCGTGGCCCAGAGCTGACTTACTCCTGCGTGGGCTGGGAGGCTGTGCTCTTTAGGCTTACTCTAAGTGGCTGGAATCCAGGGATTCAGGTCAGCTATACCCTGGGTGGTGTTTACTTTTATTTTGATCACCTCGTGGTTTAAACTCTTGGTCAGTGAGGCCAAGTCCACAACTTGCCTTCCTCTCACTTGTCTGCCCTTCCGTGGGCGTCAGTCACCAGTCTCTGTGTTGTCTTGGCTAGGACCACTGGAAGTGGCTTAGCCTGGAGACCCAGAGAACTGCTGTCCTTTTTCTCCTTGAGGGGGAAACTGGGGAACACAGTGTCCTTTTCCACAGCATGGGAAGAAGAAAATAAATTCTCCTTTCCAACAGCTCTGACTTTGTGTGTGGTATGAAACGACTTCTTAAAGGGGTGCTGGGTCTTCATTTTCAGCTAAGAGACCTTCAAAGTGTCTGACCTGTGTCTTTGTAATACAATGAGTAGAACAGTCACCATCAGATTCATCTCATGACCTCTGCAGTGTCAAAACTGGGGCAGTTACTTTAATTCCAGCCCTCTGCATGGCTGGCTGTTGGGAGCCTTTGGCGTATCTCTAGAGCAAAAGGAGGCATGACACCCTGGGTCCTTCCTTACGCCTTTGAAAGACTGGGATAATGAATTAGGGTTTTTGCTACTTTTGCACTGAAAGCCTAAACTTTTTGGGTTTTTTGTACCAGGAATCAAATTCAGGACCTTGTGCTTGCCAGGCAGGCTCTGTGCCACTGAGCTGTATCTCTGGCTCTAACCTCTTTTTGAGACAGGGTCTTGCTCTGTAATCCAGGCTCAAATTGAGGATCCTTCAGTTTTGGACTTCCCAGTGTTGGGATTACAGGTGTATCTCAACATTTGTGATCTCTTCCTCCAGGGAGAAGACAGATATTTTTATCCCAGCATCCACTGCGACTTGGGCATACTGGTCGTTTATAGCTGTTAGTTTCATGTCAGTAAATACTAGAACCCTCTGAGGATACAGGATGATGTCATGGAGATAAAGCAAAGGGGATTGGAAGGTCAAGGTCAGAAGACCTGAGTTACAGTAGCAACAACAGCCATTTACCAAGCACTGTGTTAAGGGCTTTACCTCTGTGACCTCACTGCATTCCAAAGACAAGAATACTCATCATTAGCTTTACTTTGCAGATGAGGAAACAGGCTGAGGACAAGTCACTTAGCTAAATGTTTCACTTAATAAATGTCAGAGCCAGCCCTCATAGAAATGGTATTTGTATGACCTATTTAGATAGAGGTGGAACTCAGGTTTTCTACTTTAAAGGGTCAGTGGATGGAGCCTGAGAAGGAGGATTCTTAGCAACAGCTCCACTGTGGGGTGCCGAGTCTTAACCACAAATGCCACATCCAGCAAGTGGGAGACGGTTCTCTAACTCTTCTTCACAGGGCTCTTAGGATGACTTACTGAGAAATTGGTTATGCCTGGGAGTTACAGAATTGGTGAGTTAATTCAAAATAGTTTGGAGAAACACTAGTTGAATAGCTCAACACAGATATACCAAAAGAACGACCCTATACATTGGCTGCATAGTTTAGTAGCACACTCGTGTTTTACAGAACCAGCACTGTGGAAGTACTTATGCTCTAAGATGCTGAGTCTTTTCCCCAGTTTACACTGTAGATTCCACGAAGTTTCGAGGAAAGATGCACAGCTGGGCTTTGATACTAGGTGCGAAGAAACTGGTGATCTAACACGAGCACTCTCCCTTCCAGCTGTAGTCACCGAGCCTCTCTGGGGACTAAGCCAGCGCCCACGGTGGGCTCGTTCTGGAAAACCAAGGATCGCGGAACTTCCTGGCAGGGAAAGAGGGACTCAGTTTAGGTCGCTAGTTTCCAGCTTGTCTAAGCGTGGCAGGAAGAGACCCTAGGGGCCAGGATCAAGCCACTTTCAGGGGCGTGCAGCGATCACGTCCCCCAGGGAGGATCCCGGGCTACCTTGCTACTGCAAAGCTTTCGGAGCATAGAGCTCGTAAACGCTACAACCCTATGATGCTAACTGTACTGGCGGCTCCGCCTCTTCCTACGCGCGATCGCTCAGCAGCCCGCCCATTTCAGGCTGTAAGCCAATAGGAACTCCAAGTATATATGACTCATCACACTTGGGCCAATCAGCTCGACGCGCATTCCCCTCCAGCATCTCGCGCGATAAGCATGTGGCCTTGGCCTTCACAATAAAAAAACTTGACTTTCTCTTCCCGCGCACGGAACGCCGGAACCGAGATGTGTCTCTCAGATCCCTCCGCGCTTCGCTGCGGCACAGGAAGGAAGGTAATTCTTTAGTGGTAGGCCTCCTGTAAAATAGTGCGGCTTTTTCTTTTCGTGAGACATTGAAAATAAACTCCTCCATTTTCAGGCTACGCCCTGAACATAAAGACAGAGAGCCAGAGGTGGTGGATACGAACGTGCGGCAAGGGTCACGTGGCCGTGGCGGAAGGATTCGTGTGGTGCTGCGTCTTTGGGCGGAGTCTATAAAGGCCGGCGAGCGTTGCACAGCGGCCATTTCTGCTTTGCTCCGCCGTAAATGTAGTGTGTATTCGCGGTCCTCTCTCTCTCCTCCCCTCGCGCAGGGTGCGCGGCCACCATGGCGTATTAGAGGCAGTAGTGCCTGCGGCAGCATTGGCCTTTGCAGCGGCGGCAGTAGCATCAGGCTCTGCAGCGGCAACCCCCAGCGGCTTAAGCCATGGCGTGAGTATCGGGGCGATTCTAGGCTGTGACCCCTGCCTGCGTCGCCGAGGGTTTCAGAAGGGCTGGGTGCGGCCTGTAGCCGGGGCGCGTGGCGAGGGGAAGCTGTTTTACGAGCGCCCAGGACGCGCGGCCCCTGTGCGGGCGTCTCTCAGGCGTCGGCGCTCACTAGGCTTGGGGAGGAGTAGGATGTGTGGCCCTGTTTCGGGGGGCTTTTTCCCGGACCCATGTCCTCGAACTCGGGGGTTCGGGGCGTGCCCCGCAAACGTGGCAGTAGCCAAAATGGCGGCGGGGCGGTCGGCGTGAGTCGGGCTGGGGCGGGGCGCGGCGGCTTTGGCCCTATTTGGTAGCAGGGCGAGCGCCGTCCTCTGGGTGGCCGGCTAAGGAACGGCCGCGTTTCCGTGCACCTCCATTTTGTGCAACCCGAGCCTGGGCAGGGAGGGGCGGCACCATGGCCGCGGGGACCCGGGATCTCCACTCCGGGGTGAAGAGACAGGATTATGTGACCAGTTCACCTCTTCAGTGGGATTTGCTTTTGTTTGTCTCTAGGCTTTTCAAGGCATCCAGCAGCAGCGTTGCTGTAACCGACAAAGACATCTTCGAATTAAGCACATTCCTCGATTCCAGCAAAGCCCCCCAACATGGCCGAGATGAGCTTCCTGAGCAGCGAGGTGTTGGGGGGGGACTTCATGTCCCCCTTCGACCAGTCGGCTTTGGGGGCTGAAGAAAGCTTAGGTCTCTTAGATGACTACCTGGAGGTGGCCAAGCACTTCAAACCTCATGGGTTCTCCAGCGACAGGGCTAAGGCGGGCTCCTCCGATTATCTGGCTGTGGATGAGTTGGTCAGTGCCTCGGACACCGGCAAGGGTGAGCGATCCCACCTTCGTTTGCTCCTGTGGGTCCCCACACTCAGGGCTGGCTGACTCAGTGGCCCCATTGCTTTTTGTCTTTTGCAGAGGATGCCTTCTATGGGACAGACTGGATGTTGGAGAAAATGGATCTGAAGGAGTTTGATTTTGATGCGCTGTTGAACGTAGATGACCTGGAAACCATGCCAGATGAGCTTTTGGCCACGTTGGATGACACATGTGATCTGTTTGCCCCCCTAGTCCAGGAGACTAATACGGAGCCCCCCCAGGCAGTGAACCCAATTGGCCATCTTCCAGAAAGTTTAACAAAAACTGACCAGGTTGCCCCTTTCACCTTCTTGCAACCTCTTCCCCTTTCCCCAGGGGTTCTGTGCTCTACTCCAGATCATTCCTTTAGCTTAGAGGTAGGCAGCGAGGTGGATATTTCTGAAGGAGATAGGAAATCTGACACCATTGCTTACATTACCTTGGTTCCTCAGTGTGTAAAAGAGGAAGATGCCCCCTCAGATAATGACAGTGGCATCTGTATGAGTCCCGAGTCCTACTCTGGTTCTCCCCAGCACAGCCCCTCTACCTCCAGGGGCTCTCCATTTAGGAGCCTGCCATCTCCAAGTGTCCCCTGTGGTTCTGCCTGGCCCAAACCCTATGATCCCCCTGGAGAGAAGTTGGTAGCAGCCAAGGTTAAGGGTGAAAAGCTAGATAAGAAACTGAAAAAAATGGAACAAAACAAGACAGCAGCTACCAGGTACCGCCAGAAGAAACGGGCAGAGCAAGAGGCGCTCACTGGCGAGTGTAAAGAGCTAGAAAAGAAAAATGAGGCTCTGAAAGAGAAGGCAGATTCTCTGGCTAAGGAGATTCAGTATCTGAAAGATCTGATAGAAGAGGTCCGCAAGGCAAGGGGGAAGAAGAAGGGTCCCTTAGGGTAGTCAGAAACGCTTTGTGCTTGTACATAAGTGTCTTGCGCTGAGGCTTTGTTGTATGTAATAAATTATTTTGTAGTGAAAGTGCTAGCACAGGCTTGCTACACTTGTTAAGTGTGTTCCCAAATTGAAGTTGTGTCCTGCGACGTGTAATGGGAAGGTTATTTGGACTAAACAGTCTGGGTCCTTTAAATTGTGCCCTTGAGGTAAGGTGCACCTGATGTCTGCCTCAGACAGGACTGAGGTGGGGAAGGACAAGTGTGGGAGGGGTGACCTGGACTCCACTTTCCCGTTTCCTCATTGGGGAGGTGTCAGCTAAGTTCTCGGACAAGGTCATACGTACTTGAGCACAAGCTGATTAGGTTTTACTGTTGGGAAGGAACTTGGCAGAATACCTGTTTAGTAAACTACCTTTGGAGCCTAAGGGTGGTTTTCCATTGGTAGAAAGGAAAAGAAACCTAGAAATCCTTGGGCCGAGTGATTACCTAGCCCTGGAACAAGGGAAAGGTTCTAGTTTTTTTTTTTTTTTTTTGGGTCTTTTTCCTTTTTATCCGTACTGGGGAGCGAACTCATGACTGCCCACTTACAAGGCAGACGCTTATGCCGCTGAGCTAAATCTCCAGCCCCGGAAAGGTTCTAGTTTTAATACCTTTGGTTGGTCTTCAGGAATGGGGTGAGGCAACAGGGCACAGAAAACAGCAGTGCTGTCCACAAAAAAAGACAATCTTGCAAGAACAAGATGACTCCTGATAGGACGGTTTCCTCTTCCCTGTATCAGAACAGGAAGAGCCAGGGGCACTCGGAGGGGGGTTGCTCTATTTTAAATCTTGCTTCTCTGCAGTCCAGCTTGAAGGACGGGTGGCTTTTACCTAAACTATGAGTGGGTACACTTGCTTTGGCCTTGAAGGTTAACGTAAGGCTGAGCCCTGGCAGGCTAACTCCCCGTGGTCCTGCTGGGGAGGAGGTGCTCTCCCTCCTGGAAATGAGTGGCGTGTGAGCGGCAGCAGGACAAGGCCCGTGTTGCCAGACCTTCATGCCCACGCCGTGTTAGGCTGTAGCTGAGGTTCTGACTAGATCCCGAGTTAGCCCACTGCCTCTGGAGGCTGTGTGCCTGGTTCCTTCCACAGCTGTGTACAGTACAGGCAGGCCTGGTGTCTGAGGCCCGACTACTGCTGTGTTGTCTGGGCCAGAGGGAGTTTTCTCGGCTCCTGGCTCCTGCTGAGTACGTGGGGCGCCCCAAGTGTCTTGGTCCCACCCCATCTCTCTTGGCTTGCTGAGCCTGGGGCTGTTAGTTTTGAGCATGTCTCACCTGTTTGGGGGACACAGAACAGCAGGGAAATGCCTGTTTTCCCAGCAGTGAGTGCTGGTTGCGTGTGAGGTGGGCTGCTGGGCATCGCCATTGTATAGTGTCCTAAAGGAGGTGGCAGTGGAAAGGGCATAGTAGGTGAGGGGCTTTACTTTCAACTGGAGCCACAGGACCTGAGTGTCACTCTCACCACAGGGTAGAGATTATGGCCTGGCTGGTCAGCAGGTGGATACTCCGCTGCAGCCCCTTTACGGCTTTGTCCCTGCTTTTCCCCAAGAAAGCAGAGCAGGGAACAAAGGAATACCGCAGCCCCACTCACCCATCCCAGAGGCGTGGCTCTGCTGGATGAAGTCACTTGATGGGGACCTGGACAAATTTTGGGGGGCCTTGAACTGAGTCTCTGGGCCAGACATGCTGTAGGCTGGGCTGCTATCCTGTATGGAGCCTGTAACTGGGTCCTGTAAGATGCCTGTGGCAGTGCTGTTCCTCCAGCCCAGAGCCACACCTGCAGGCCCAGAGGTCCAGGCAGCCTGTGTCCTCTGTTGTGTAGGGTCCCACTCACCTCACCTGGGCTCAAATCTGCCTGCTACCACAAACTACCCCAGGCACATTCGCTTCTGGCCCTCACGTGTACCCACGGTGCCTTGGTTGGGGAAGGCCTCCCCTCCTTGAATGTGACAGTAGTGTCACTTGGGCCATGTTGACCAGCCCCTTCCTCACGTGATGTGCCCTTCACCCAGCTGCTGGTACGGGCCGCCCGAGCTCCCTGCTGCCTCCAGCCACTTGCAGTAGCGCTGTCTGGGGTGACTGTCACAGTATAGATTGACTGCCGAGGCTCTGGGGTAGGCTCCGGTGAATGCTAAACTGTCTAGCAGAGGCCAAGGGTGCACCCAGCAGGGCTACTGGCACAATGTGGCATGGACTGACAGAGCTCTCGGCAGGCGAGGGGCTGCACCCCACTGCCATCCTTCCCCAGGTGGGACTGTGTGACAGCAGATGTCCTGGTCAGAAAGGGGTGCTGGAGCCTAGTTAGCCTTTCCTCCTGTGACATAAATTCCAGGAGTGCTGAGCTGGCTTCTAGCTAAGCTGCTTACAATGAGGACTGTCCAAGGACAGCCAGGGTCCCCGACAGCACTCACAGAGCCAGCAGCAGGAAGCAGCGAGGATCAGATGCACACCTCCTCCCCTGCCATCTGAATGACTCCTGTGAGGTCACTTATTACGGGGCAGCACCCTCCTGGAGACAGGACAGGATCCACCTCCAGCTCTGCCCTCCTGTGGTAGTGCGGCCACCTGCGCTCATGCTCTGACCTGGGTGTGAGCCCCAATACTGCAAGGATGTTCCTGAGACCCTGACTGGAGCCAGCCCACATGCGGAGAGAGCCTGCTGGCTTCTCACTGAGGGAGGAACGTGCATCCCTGGTGAAGCTCTCTGCTGTACCCACAGTCTCCTCAGGGAGGGGGCCCCACTTCCAGCTCCTTGAATCCCCAAGTCCACTTCTCAGAATAAATGCCAGCAGCTGCAAGCAGTTTTTGCCTCAAGTGCCACCCTCTGGGCTGTAGTAGGCACACCCTGGAACAGCACCCCAAGACTACAGCTCCCCAGATGGCTGCCTGGGGACTTCTCCCTTTGGTGCCAGAGATGGGGACGCCCCACAAGTCAGATCAGCAACACACATTGCTCCCACATTTATCAGGACCTGGGACCCAGGACGTGGCTTTGGACCACAGTGAATAGGCCAGAGGCCACACCAGGACAGAACAGTCAGAAATGTTCCTTTCCGGCAGGGCAGATGGCGCCTCCTAAGCCTGCAGAAGATGCCAGCTCCAGGCCGGGTGTAAATCTGCCCTGGGCTCCCACCTCCACTCCAGACTCCCCAAACTCCAGCGCCAGGTGCTTCTTGAGCCAGCCCCATGTCGCCACCTGCTGGCCGAACTCCGCATGGGCTGTCTGGGCCGCAAGGGCAGCAGAGTCCCTGGCAGGCCCTCCAGGGAACCTAGCTGCCGAAGTATTCCTGCTGGAACTTCTGGAAGTCTTCCTCTGTGAACACGGTGCCCTCAGCCTTCTTCTTCTTCTTCCTCTTGGCCACGGGCCGGTCACAGGCCTTTCGGCCCTGGTTCTGCTTCAGAATCTGGGAAGAAGTGAGGGCACATCGTTTCCAGGGACAGAAGAACAGACTGGGACAGAAAGGTCCCCGGATGTGTGGGCGGAGCGGGGGGGGGGGGGCAGCATTCCCCAGGCCCCCACGTGAACCTCAAGGATTGGCCCAATTTTCAACCTATATTCAGGGCTGACACCCCCAGACCTGCCTGGAGCCCACACCCGACAGACCTGCTTTGACACCGACTCTGCCAGGATATTCTTGGTGCCAGTCATAAACTTCAGGTTTGCTCTGAGGTGGTCTCGACACTCTCGCTTCCGGTACTCCGCTGTGGGCGACAGGGGGGTGGTTACTTCGGATTCATCCCCTGGAAGCCTTCCGGGTCTCCAGTCCCTGGCCCTGCAGGAGGCCCAGGGCCCCACTCTAGATTGTTACAAGCTGGGCTCCTTTGGCCGAACCCACTCTTCACATTGGTCCTATGGAAAGGCCTATGGCTCCCAGGGGTCATGCGACTCACTCAACAAACTCACCTTCCATATAACTAAGTGTTGTAGGCACTGTGCCTACACAGGAAACCTGGCAGGCAGACTCCTGCCCTCGAGGAGCTTATGTGCCAGTGTGAAGAGGAGAAAGAAGGTAAGGAGCATTTTATTTCATTTTTATTTTTTTTTAAAAATCTACTTTATTCATAGATAAAAAAGAAGAAGAAAAACTACAACAAAATTATAAAGCACATCTATCAGGGGTAGCAATGGTACATATACTGCACGCTGTCATCCCTAAATCATTCACCCAGAGCACAGGACATCTGCCTTCGACGGTTTGAACAATACCAGCACAAATCTTTCTCTTCAGTGACCTCAGAGAAATCACTAGTATAGCTATCTTAACTATTTTTTATATACATATACATGTTTTTTTTTCTTCAGCCTGTCACACTAATGAAACAATATGATGGTAAACATCATTTTAGAGATGAGCCATTTTATGGAAAAAAACCAGAATAGCAAACAAGAATGGCAGTGGCAGAGGGCTAGAATTTTAAATAGCAAGGTCTCACTGAAATAACAGTTGAGCAGTCCTGAGGGACGGCTGTGCAAAGATGGCATGGAAACATGCCTGATGTCCTGAAGAGCAAGCACGACAGGGAAGGGCCCTCTGTCCCTTCCCTGCCAGTTGGGACACTCCGGCTTGCACTGAGGACGGTGGGAGCCACAGGAGGATGTATGCAAAGCAAATGATCTTATGATACAAGGTCACTTGGGTGGCTGGTGAGAACAAGGTGATGGGGAAGCATCTGCAGAAGGCAGCAGTCTGGCCAGAGGCTTTTGCGAAACCCCAGGCTAGGGCCAGAGATTTAGCTCAGTGGCCCTGCTGGACAAACAAGAGGTCGTGAGTTTGACCCAAAGTACAAAACAAAACAAAAAAAGCAACAAAAAACCCCTCCAGGCTGGAGATGAGCAGCCAGACCCGGGTAACAGGCAGAGAGGTATTCTGCAGACTGGCTGCTGAGGCTCTCTCCATTCCTTTCAGCCACAGATTATATGCTAAGCTCTGGGCTGGGCACCAGGGCCACAGACAAACCAAAGGGAGGTCTGTGCCTGACAGCCTCTCAGGCCAACAGGGGAGGCAGCGAAGCAAACCCCTGTGACAGGACCACGAGACAAGGGCAGGGGCAGACAGACGGTAGGGGCCCCTCTCAGCTCCAGCTTGCAGTAGGACTCACTGAGGCTCTTTGGTCACACTGTGGCTGCTCTTGGGAATTCATAACCCTTTTAACAAATAGCTGAGTAGCTTCTATGCTGGAGGCTCTGAAGACTCAAAGGCCCTTAAGTGCTTACCACCCTGTCCACACAGCCTGATGATACAGTCAAGCCTGGCCTTCAGTTTGTTACATAGCCCAGCCTGACCTCAAACTTTCAGTGTTCCTGCCTGGGATGACACGTATGCACCACCATGCCACTCCCAGTCCAAGTTTTTGTCTCCTTAATGGTACCACATTCCCCAAGAAACTACTAGAGCTGGGGGTGGTGATGCACACCTGTTGTCTGGCACTTGGAAGGCTGATAGGACTGTCACGAGTCCAAGGCCAGTCTTGGCTACACAGCAAGACAAAAAGTTTTTCTGGAAACTGGGTTCCCTCTTCACAGCCAATTCACTCTAAAGCCCACTGATGCTCCCACCTCTGCTCATCTTGCACTTGCACAATTCTCTCATCTCTGTACCTATCACCACTGTCCAGGCCACACAACCTCCCACTTGATCATAGCGGGTAATAGCAGCACTCCGGAGTCACCGCCTCGCACCTGCACCACTTCAGCAAGTGCCTCCTTCTGGACAGCAGGGGTGACAGCATGCAAACCTCACAAGGTTCACATTTAGAGGGCTCAGAACATCGTCCAGGACCTCCGAAGTTACTGTTAAATGCTCCATCTTGACCCTGTTCACTTCCTGTCACCTTTACCAGCCTGCTCCCTTTCACGTTTCCAAAATCGATAAGCTTTTTTGTGAGTCCTTACCTCTGCATCTGCTCTTCTTCCTAGAACACTTACACTTCCTTCAGTTTCCAGGCTAAATGTTGCTTCCTCAGAGGAGGCTGATTTGATTTTGCCTTTTACTCTGATCCTTCTTTGAGCACCGTACTTTTTTTTAATACTACAGACAGGAACACATAGCAATTATACGCAGCAATTGAGCCTTTTCGATGCTCATCTCTGCAAAGGACGTAATTCCTGAAAGCCCCAGCCGTGTTTCGGGCACCCCCATGTGGCCCAGGCCCCATCCCACTGCAGGCACAGGGCCGGTATCCACCAATATCCAGGCAGCCGGCCCAAACCCAGCCCCTATTAGTACTCACCCAGCGCCGACTTGGGCACCTTTCCTTTGGCCGAGTTCCGCAGTTTCTGGGCCTGGGCTGCCTTCGCCTTTTGGGCCCGCTTCACCGGAGCCCCGCTCGGTTGCACCTGGCTTTGGGAGGACTGGAGGGCTGCAAGGGAAGGCAGAGAAACCGACACCGGTCGCAGAGCGCGCAGGGTTCCCATCCTGCGGGGGCTGAGTCCGGCCGGGTTCGTTCCCCATTCCTGCTTCCTTCTGAAGCGCCCGTTGTCCTCCCGACCCCGCCAGATGTGCTCCGACAAACCCTCCTCACCTTCCGAAGCCGCCAGAAGCTCCAGACCCCGCCGAAGCAAGGCCGCCGACATGACTACGCCCGGCACCGCCCACGCGCCTTACGCTACTTCCGCCTCGGTAGTGCTCTTGGGTCTCGGCGGAAACCTGACCTGCAACGCAAGGTTCCGGAGTAGCGGGGACGGGAGGGGAGCGCCCCCTTCCTTACGACGCATGCGTAGGAGGAGGAAGAAGAGGAGGAGGCGGGAATTAGAGGCGGATCCAAGGCCCAGAAGGACATATTTATTGTCCAATCCCAATTCAACTAACCCCTTGGCGGTCAAGGCCACGCCTTCTCTTGGAAGCGGTCCGCAGCTAGGCCTGGCTGGTTGGTCAACTCTCTCAGGGTTGTCCCTTGTCGGCAGTGGGCGTGGCCGTTGTTAGCCTCACTTTCCACCAAAAAGAAAACTGTAGCTACGGTTTTTTTTCTTCAAGTACTTCAACCAGAGTAACGCGTCACATAAGTCGAGAACAGCGTGTGAATCTAGTTCTTTCTATGAAATCATACGAGAATGCAAAATAATGTACTTTGTTTTGAAAAATACTTTTCTGTTTTTTTGTTTTTTGTTTTTTTTTTTTTGGTCTTTTTTCATTTTTATCGGTACCCGGGATCAAACTCACGACCGCCTGCTTGTAAGGCAGGTGCTTATGCCGCTGAGCTAAATCCCCAGCCCCTAAAATACTTTTTTTCATAAAATGTTATTTGTGTACTAAACGATGACTTTATTTTTCTTATTTTATTTTATTTTTTTGAAAGTAGCCAATGTATGATTTTATTAATAAATAATGCAAAAGCATCAGTGATAACTGTTTCACCATTAAAATTTTTAAACAGCCAAGTTGGCTTAAATTTGTGCACAATGACCTGTATGGCACTGCAATCTTATTTTATTTTAAATGATTAATAAATATTAAAGACTCTCAGTTTTAGTAGACCCTGAATTTTGAAGAGTGTAATCAGAGAAGCGTGATATCTCACAATCTGTAACTCCACCACTCTGGGAGGCTGAGGCAGGAGAATCCCAGGTTCGACCCCTGCCCTAGCAACTTGCGAGGTCTTGTCTCAAAACATTAAAAAGGAGCTGTGGATGTAGCTCAGTGAAAAGGCCTTGGGTTCAATCTCCAGGGTTAAAAAATAGTAACAATAATAATAAAGAATTTCTTAGACAAGTTTGAAAACGTTTGGCCTAGAATGAGCCGTCTCGAAGCAGGAAAAAGCCTGATTTGTTCTGCACCATCTCATCCTGCACCTGGCAGGCAGGAGACTGGAGGATGGTGAGGCTTTGATAATAACCAGCTGTGACCAGAGTCACATTTTCCACACATGCGCGCGCGCACACACACACCTTTGCCCTAGGTGGCAGAATTGATTTCCCGTTTCACAGATGGGACACTCACAAAGGGGCCAAGGAACCCGATAAGGTGGCACAGGTAGTGCCGCCGCTGGGAAGCTGGAACAGGCTGTGTGGGAGCTGAGCTGCTGTGGGGTTGGGAGGAGGAGACGAGCTGTTTCGAGTGCAGAGAGAGGCGTCCAGGCAGGTGTTGTCATCAGGATCTGTTCCCTGCGACACTATCTGGGGAGTGGCCTGTGGAACAGGAAGGGGTGGTGTGGGGACAGTGGTCTCCAGGGCTGGACTTGGGCTGGGTTGGGCCTGAAACCCAGTCCTGTGATCAGACAGGTGCTCTTCTGTTTATTTTTAATTTTGGGGGGGGGTCGTTTTGAGACAGGGTCTCACCATGCAGTTCAGGCTGGCCTTGAGCTCACTTTGTAGCCTAGGCTGGACTCAAACTTGCAATGATCCTCGTATCTCAGCGCCTCCTGAGTGCTGGGATTACAAGCGTGCACCAACACACCCGGCTCTTCCCTTGTTTATATTTGTTGTCCATTTTCCTTGGCAGCAGCAGGAGGTCAAGAGGCTTTGTTTTGTTCGTTAATGATCCCTAGGGCCCGGGACAATGCTTGATATAGAGTCAGCGCTTCATAAAGTCACGCATAGAATGGAGAAAAGATGATAAGATGCTTTGGGCCACCGGAGATGTTTTAAGATGTGGTGAATGTGTCCCAAACTGTCTGGACTGATTCGCTCACTGGAGCACTAGATGGCGCCACAGGACAGCTTTCTTGCTGCGTCGTGGGCCCTGGCTGTGGCTGGGTAGCAGCGTGGGGTGTGGATGCCCTTCATTCTCACGTGGCTCTTTCCACCCAGCACCGTATGCTTCCCCTGTCCGCTGCTGCCACACCTGGAGCCAGATGCCAGGTTCTGGCCTGAGCGGGGAAAGTTGAGTCAGAGCCACCAGGCTGGGGGCCTGGAGGAGAGGCGAGGTCTCCCATCTACACCAGGGACAGCTGCAGGGGGATGTGTGACCCAGGCATCCCTCAGCGTCCACTTCTGCTCCACAGGGCTGGGAAGTAGCTCCCCGCGTGGATCCCTGCTACCTGTCAGGCTCCCCTGGGGCCTCGAGGCTCCCACGCTGGTTGCCACGGGGCTGCGTGACGCGGAGCCAGCTGTTCCTTCGCTTGGAGCCTTGACTCCGGCCACTGGGTCCCTGTGGGCCTCCAGCTCCAGCCGCGATGCCCCTGGGAACTTGCTGGGCTGAGCCCGAGGCCTTTGGCCACACGGAGAAAAGTCCCAGTGAGTGGCCACCCTGTCCCCACCCCAGCCCCTTCCTGGTCTCTATGGAATCTGCTCTTGAGACTCAGAGGCCGGGTTTTCTGCAAGGCTGAGTGGCTTTTCATGTGTCTTTGCACGTGAGCGCGTGGATGCATGTGCAGGTGTAAGGGCTTGAGCGCGCATGCGCGGGGGTGCACGGTGCTTCTGAGCTGTGTGGCACAGGCAAGCGCCCTTCCTGTTTCCCAAGCCCAGAGCCCCCTGTGGTAGGGGAGGCCACGTCGCGAGGTGGGCAGTGCTGGAGGCTGTGTCCCAAGGTCTAAGGCTGACGCAGGAGCTGCTTTCCCTCTGGTGCCTGCAGCCCCTGCTGGGAACCGGGCTTTGGGCAGTATTGTACAGCTGTCCTCCCAGGTGGGGAGAGGACGAAGCTCCCAGCTCCTGGCTTCTGCCATCTGGCTTCCGGCTGGGCAAGTCGAAATTCGGTTTTAGCCCGCTTGCCGCGCGCGCTGGGCAAATCACATTACCTCTCTGCGCTGCAGCTTCCCCGTTTGTGAGTTAAATGTAAGACAGTAAACATCTGACCAGCTGGGTGTGAGGTGATCCAGGATTCCAGGAGGCTGAGGCACTTTGTGTTGAGTTAAATCCCCAGCCCTTTTGATATTTATTTCTGAGACAGAGCCTCACTACATTGCCCGGGCTGGACTCCAGCTTGTAATCATCCTGCCTCAGCCTCCCAGAGTCCTGGGATCACCTCACACCCAGCTGGTGAGATAATTACTATATTACAGTTAACTCACAAATGGGGAAACAAGCCCAGAGAGTAAACTCAGCACAAAGGCCCTGAGTTCAATCTCCAGTAACACACACACACACACGGACATAAGAGGCAGGAAGAAGCTACTGGAAATTCCCTGCTGGAAATTCAGACAGTGACCTAGATGAGGGTCAAAAGTAGGGTGTTTTTTTTTTTTTTTTTTTTTTTTTCAGTTTCAGAACTGTGTCCGGCCAGGAGTGGTGATGCATGTGGGTAATCCCAGCACGGGGGAGGCTGAGACAGGAAGACGGCACCAGGGCCAGCCTGCACTGCATGGCCAGGCCCAGTCTGTAAAGCAAACAAACGTGAGCAGAAAACAAAAGAAAAAAACCGAATCCAGGGTCTCACACAGGCGAGGCAAAGTTTCTCCGGCTGGGCTGCTGGCTAGTCTTCCTTTTTTTTTTTTGAGACAGGGTCTCTCTGTAGTTCAGGTGGGCCTCGAATTTGGTGTGCTCCTCCTGCCTGCCTCGGCCTCCTGAGTCCTGCGATCACAGGTATTTGCCACCTGTTGTAGTCAGGGGTTGTACACAGAGAACAATTCAGGTCAGGACATGAAGTTTATAATATTTTTATAATGGTCACCAGAAGTTAGTACAGGAGAATGCAGGAAATCCATCCGCAACACCAACGACATAGATTATTTAGTCAAGAGTCTAAACCACATGGCAATGTCCCACATGAGTCCAGATAAAAACCCAGAGCTCAGGACAACGCCTCCATGAGTCCAACTGGAAGTCCAGGGCCCACAAGGACTCACGCCAGTCTCTTTTACAGATTCGTGCTGGGAAGACCCAAGGGTCAGCGGTGGAAACCAGAAAGTCCATGCCAGCAGGATGAAGGAGCTGTGCTAGTGGGATGAGGGTTCTACACTGGAGCTGAGAAGTCACACTCACAACAAAGACCAAGGCTATCCTGAAAGGCACCACAGCTGGCCTCAGCGACACGGAGGCCCCGAGCTCCTCCGACAACAAGCACAGTCGGGTACATGCCAGGAAGCAGCGTGACGAGTTCATCCTAGAGACCAGGCAGCACATGTCTTCCCCTCCGGAGCCAGGAAGCAATGCTCGATGTGAAGACCAAAGCTTCTCCAGGAGAACCAACAGCTCAGACAGCAACTCGTAGGAGAACCAACAGTGCCTCCATAACGCCTCCATCCCTCTCCGCACCTCGCTTCTTCTCCACCTATTTATCCTGGCAACCCTTCTCAGGTGGAGCATCTTCTCTCAATGCATGCTGATGTAATCCAGCTGGTGTTAAGTTGACCACTAGTTATCAAGCCATAACACCACCACTCCCAGGCCACCTTGAGCAGCTGGACGCGGCTCTGTTGCTGTGTGACCTGGGTCCGTGCCCGCCCCTCTTGGGTTGGGATGAACTGGGGTGCATCTCCTAGGGCTACTGAGAGGAACAGGGGGAGAGGCTGGGCTGGAGGGGAGCAAACAGTCCCCTCCAGCCAGCTGGTCCCTGACCAACTTACCAGTGTGGGGGAGCAGAATGGAGCCTGGACTTGGGGACTGACCTCATTGTGAGACCTTACATGAGTCCTGATCTCTCTGGGCAGTGGGGTCAGACTGTGCTGCCTGAGGTGCCAGGGGTGGGGCGAAGAGAGGGAGTCGCCCCAGGGTTTGGAGAGGGGAGGACGTGGGGGGAGCAGCTGGCTCTGGGGCCTCAGAGGGCCCTGAGGTAGGGGTTCAGGCTCCAAAAGAGGCAGAGTGGGG